GAAACATATGTCATAGGTTTACAAGCTGCTATAGATAGAAAAGTTAAAGCATTAAAAGTGTTTGGCGGTTCGACTCTAGTTATATATCAATTGAAAGGAGAATGAGAGACGAGAGATTCAAAACTCGTTCCATATCACAAGTATATTTTAGAGTTGATAAAGCAGTTTGAAGATATCAAGTTTGATCATTTACTTCGAAAGGAGAATTTGATAACTTATGTCTTGGCTACTCTGGCTGTAATGATCTGAATTAGTAATAATACTAACATTCAGCTTATCAAGTTAGATGTCAAAGATATACCAGCTCACTGCTCTAATGTAGAAGAAAAGAAAGATGGAAAGCCTTAGTATTATGATATCTTGCAGTACATTAAGAACCAACAATACCTAGTCCAAGCAACGGAGAACGATATCTTCAAACTCGTACAAAATGAGCCATGATCAAGTATTATTGAGATACGTAAGTAAAACTGAGGCAAAAAAATTATTGAAGAGGTGTATGATGGAATATGTGGGGCACATGCCAATGGAAACATGATACCAAGACAGATCATGAGAGCATGATACTATTGATTGAAATAAAAAGTGATTGCATTGACTATACTCGTAAAAGTCATAAGTGCCATATCTATGCTGATAAGAACCATGCTTCACCATTTACTCTACATGTTTTGGCACCACCCTGGCCATTCTCGATATAGGGCATGAACGTCATTGGTCCTATTACCCAAAAGCTTCTAATAGACATAGATTTATTTTCGTGATGATAGATTACTCATCACGAAATGGGTAGAGGTGGCATCATTTGCAAATGTAACACGATTAGTGGTTTGAAACTTCATAAAAAGAGAAATCATTTACAGATATAAACTTTTAGAGAGAATCATTTCGGACAATGTCAAGAATCTAAATAGTAAGATGATGCAAGAAATATGTACCCAATACAAGATCAAGCATCATAATTCAATGCCATACCATTCAAAAATGAATGGGACAGTTGGGGTAGCTAACAAGAATATAAAAAAAATTTTAAAAAAATGACAGAGACCTATAAAGATTGACATAAAAAGTTGTATTTGATCTGTATGCATATCAAATGTCAATGCGTACCTCTACTGAGGTAACTCTATTTTTTTTTATTTATGAGATGAAAGCTGTTTACCAATAGAAGTAGAGATCTCATCTTTGAAAGTGCTAAAAGAAGTTGAACTAAAAGAGGTTGAATGGATTCGAGAGCGCTATGAACAGTTAAATTTCATAGAAAAAAAGAGATTGACTGTATTGTGTCATGATCAGTTATATTAAAGAGGATAACGAGGACTCATGATAAAAAAATTTGACCTCATTACTTTCAAGAGTGAGAGTTGGTCTTGAAAAGAATTCTTTCAAATCAGCACGATAACAAAAAAAATGAATTCCAAATTAGGAAAGGCCATATGTGGTGAAACGAACTTTCTCAGGTGGAGCATTGATACTGGCTAAGATGGATGAAAATAATTTATCCCATCCTATAAATTCTGATATTGTGAAGAAGTACTATGCTTAAAAAAAGTAAAAAAAAAAATAATGAAAATAAAAAAGGAGGACTCAAGACGGAAACCCTAAAATGGTGGTTTGAGTCATAGAGGGTTTATTTAAGTTGAAAACCTGAAAGACAGCTTAGATAAGAAGAATACAACATCAAATCTGAAAATTCATTGGCATAGAGGCTAATAAATTCAGAAGAGCTCTAAGTTGTTAAATACATCAGATAGTTGGATTTTCAGAAGAACCTTGAGATGTGTTGTCATGATTATCCGATTGTACATTTTTAGGCATTGTCTCCCCATACCTATCTTTGTAATTCTTTTTTGGCCAAAGTTTGCCAAACTTTTTGCTAATAAAAGACATTCATCTTCATTTTTTGTGTGCTTCTTCTATTGATTATTTTTTAACCATTCTTATTCTTTTCTCATTAATACCTTGTAATGAAAAAAATGTGTGAATACATTCTTACTTTTTGATATTGAAATAATGATTGATAAATAAATAATAATGTGAAAGAATTTTACATTACATTGGAAAGGTCGAGAGTGATAAAGGTAAATTTGAGATGTTCAGTTCCTAATAAGGACATTGAATTTGGAAAGGGATTGCTTGCAGAAAAGTTATGAGAATTAAATGAGATAGATGAGTAAGAGTTACGCTGACTTGGTCTTTGAAGAACAAAATGTTCGAAGCCCAAGAAAAGAGCTTGAGAGACTTGAGTACTATAATTGAATAAGAATTAATTAGCCAACATTTGCATAGCATGCATTGAATTTCATACGCATTGCATGGCATATACTACATTCAAGAAAATATAGTACATAAATTCAAAAAACAGGGGTATTTCAGGATCTCACATGGAGAAGACAAACGTGAAGATTTTTTTCAAATTATCATTTGAGAAAAAGCTTGTGAGGTAAGTTTAATCCTTGGAAAAGGATATCTCTTGGTATCAAGAACGATTTGTAAGATCCTTTGGCATAATCTCTTAAAGTTCCCTTCAAACATGATTTTTGACTCTTCTGGACGTGATTGTCGATGAGCCATTTATTTTTTGTCGAGCCTCTGTTTAGATGAGCAATTTATTTCTCAAAGTCGTAGTTACCTCTGTTTAGATGAGCATTTTATTTTTCAAAGTTATGGTTGCCTCTGTTTAGAGGAGCAATTTACTTTCCCAAAGTCGTTAAACCTTTGATTAGAGAGCTTTATTTATTTTTCAAAAGTCATCGGGCCTCTGCTTAGAAGAACTTTGTTTATTTTTTAAAAGTCATTGAGTCTCTGCTTAGAGGAGCTTTGATCAAAATTTTAACAAAAAAAAGACAACAAAAAAAGTAAAAAAACAAAAAAATAGTCAAGTGGAGTCTTGAATGAGTGTCTACGTCTTTGCACAATTCTTATTTCATAAAAAATGTGCAAAGAGGGACAGTTGTAGACATCCAATTTGGTCCAGGCTCGGATTAATTGGGCTTTGTCCAAATGGGTAAGCCCATTTACAGTTTTATTTTTATTTATATTTATTATTTATTTATTTATTTATTTATTTATATTTTTTATTATTTATCTATTAATATATATATATTTTTATCTATTATTATTACTATTTTTTTACTTTATCTTTTTCTTGATTGATTTTTGGCTAGGATTGGGATTAGAAAAAATTAGAATTATGCCGTGAATTTGGGATTCAATCAAAGTCTGGATTGGATTCAAAGATTGAATCCAAATCCAAAATGGAATTGAGATTGATCAGAAACTCTTCTAATCAATCCTTATAAATAAGTCCATAAATCACACCGAAAAGACACAGAAAAGAATAAAAAGAAAACAGAAGCAAAAAAAATTTGAAGGCAGCTCTAGAATTTTTATTAAAATTTTTGGAGATTTTAGCATTTTTTTTTTCTGAAAAATTTCTAAAAATTTTTCAAATTTCGGTGAATTTTTTGACGAAACTTGAATTTTTCGACGAAGTTTCCAGCTAACTTTGAAGTTTTCAATTTTTTTTTAGATTTCGATAAAACATTCAACTGAAATCTAGAATTGTTTAGAGAAAAAAAGGAAAAAAGAAGGGAAGAGATAGAAAATGGGAAGGGAAATCTGAAGGAAGATCGAGTTTCAGCTTTATATATCCTTTCCAACATGATGTCATTTTTGCGTTAGTAAACTCAGAGGATCTATGCGTTTTGCCAAGATCCGACCTGACCCATAGTGCACCTGAACCACTGACCCGCTTCTCCGCTTGGGTTTCAGTTGAGCCAAGCTGAGCCGTTTCCTGCTGAGTTGCACATTTAAGCCGATTTTGTCTCTCAAACAGAGCCGAATCCAAGCCGAGCCGAACCGAACCGTTCTAAGATTTTTTTAAAAATTTTATTTATTTTTTTATTTATTATTATTATTAATTAGAATTATTTGGTATTTCTTATTATTTTATTTTATTTTTTATTTTTTTAATGATTTTTCTAAAATAAAATTTTTTTAAAAAAAATTTAAAGGAAAAGTTGAAAGTATCAATTTTTCTTAAAAAAAATAATAATAATAAAATAAAATAAAATTTTTAAAATAAAAATTTTCAAAAGCATTTTGGGGAAAGTATAAAGTATTAATTTTTCTTGAAGATAAAAAGATTTAAAAAATATTTTTAGAAAAAAATTAAAAGTATCAATTTTTTCTTGAAATTAAATTTTAAAAAAAAAAGCATTTTGAGAAAAAGTTAGAAGTACCAATTTTCTTTAAAAATAAAAATATATATATTTTAAGGAAAAGTTAAAGGTATCAATTTTTCATAAAATAAAAACTCTCAAATGCTTTAAGGAAAAATTGAAAGTATCAATTTTTCTTGTGCAAAAGCAATGGTTTTTTTTTTTTTTAGTGAAAAGAAAATGATTTATATTTAAAGTTGAATTTTTATTTCTCTTCCTTTTCTTTCTTGAAAAATTTTTAATGTTAAATAATCCGACGACGGAGTCTTTGTAAGTGAAATAATAGTTTTCTTGTATATTCTTGAGGTGGGGGGATTTTCTTAATTTTCTACCAAAAGTATTGGAGTTAATTAAGAATAATTTTCAATAATTATCTACTTGGTAAAATTTTTAAGGCTTATTGGATAACATAAAATTAAGTTGGTATTATCTTTTGATGGGCGTTTTGAGGATGCTATAACCTTCCTCACACGTAACCGTACTCTCAAATTCTGTTCTGGTTAATGCACTTAAACCTAAGGGACCCTTAGTCAAGCTTAAATATTTTTTAAAAGAATAGATTCCTTAGGTGATCAATCGCATCTAAACAAAAAAGATTGGTGACGACTCCTTAAAGTCGATGTCAAACGATAGATCCTCAGATCTAAACGTTATGACAGTTAATTAATTAATTTACCTTTGTTTATTGAAACTTTGAATGGAAATTAAATTTGTCTGAAATGGAAGGGGTACTATGCATCACCTAAGCAAGCTGTATTATTAAATTTCTGATGGGCAAACAAGTTTTGCTCAGTCTCTGTCTGATTTGGTCAAAACAAAAGCCTCTAATATCAGTTGAACTTCCGAGTTTATCTTATTCATTGTATGTATATATAAAAAGAGTGTTCAAAAGAAAGGAGTTTGCCAAATCCTGTGAAGTGTTTACATGCAATGGAGAAACAAGCTAAACCCAAGAACAAGATCTTGAAATTTTTACCGAAAGCAGCTTCAGCTGTTAGTGTCACCTTTCATAACCCTCCGTTCAGCCCAGGCCGAGACATGAGAGTGGACAATTATACAGGCAAGCATAAAGCTTATGCAGGCAGAGGATTCTCTGGTCCGATCATTTCCATAATACCTGATGAAGCTCGAAGAAGGTCCAAGAGTGAAGCCTTTGATCAGACTCAAGAACCAACTTCACCGAAAGTGTCATGCATGGGGCAGATCAAGCGCAACAAAAATATGAAAAAAGCTAAGCTTGTTTCGCCTCCTAAAGGGTTGAAGCCTGTCTGTGATCAATCTTCTTCTTCTAGAGAAGTAAAGAAGAATGCATCAAAGTTAAGGCGAATCTTTAGGATGGCAAAACCAGCTAGGAAATCTGATGTAACAAGTAATAGGACAGAGTTGCCTGATAGAGCGCCTTCTTTGGGCCAAATGAACCGGTTTGCAGGTGGGCGTGATGCTTTTGCAAATTTTGATTGGATGGATCAGATGACACCCGTGGAAGCTGATCATAGGGATTATTACTCTGATGAAGATAGAAGAGATGGTGATTTTGAAGAGGAAGAAACGATCATTCCTTTCTCGGCCCCAATGACGGTTGGTGGAGTGCCTTTACAGCCAAGGAAAGAAATTAACTTATGGAAGAGAAGAACCATGAATCCACCTAGTCCCCTTCGATTGAATTCCATGGTCAGCGCAAATTGATTGATTTTTTTTTCTTTTGGCATCGCTGCTATTTGTTTCTTTTCTTGCTTCTCATATATAGATTGTGCAAATATATATAAAGAATCATAAAATATGGTATGGACGAGTCTGTAATTGGCATTTGACACAATCTGGAATTTGTTGATTCTGGTTTCTGTACAGATCAATGTTGCTTGAACACCACTTCTTATCTTTGTTTTTCCAGTGGTCTTCTTTTCGTTGTGCTCATGCTTGTGGAGATTGGTTTGAAACAAAGTCTACCATCCAACTAGCCATAAGGATTAACAGAAGGGAAACTATAATTAGTAGAATCATGTCTTGATCCAATAAGAGGAAATGCATATAACTTACTTATGTTTCCATTATTCTAAGAACGAAATCAACGCTTTATCCTTTTAGTTATACGTAATCACTGTTGAATAAGGATCGTTAATACGTTTAATCAGAGTTAAATACTATAAATTCTGTTGACAGCCGGAAATAACCTAGTAACTATACAGGTTGATATGTTTTACAAGTAAAATCTAGCTGTCAAATTGTGGCCCGCAGCCAAAATGGAAAAAGAACTCGTAACCAATATTAAGGCGAGGAGTGGTTTCAAAGTCAATTGGAAGCTGTATGGAAAGATAAGTGGTACAAGTTTGTGTTATACATGCCATTTACCAAGGTTGGCAGTGTGCTAACGCCCAACGCCCAGATAATGATGGTTGACCTTTCAGCAACATTTGACAGTGAATCTTTTTACAATAATTAAGTGGATGGGTATTAAAATTTTTGGTAAGAAAAGAATTGTTGTTTGTTAAGAATGATGCTAGAAATTAATGCAAATTCATAATTCCTTTTATGCTTTTTTTTTCTTTTCTTTTTAGGATATTTTAGAATTCGTTGAGGTCATGACATGTGACTGTGAATTTGTTCATGAACCCTTTTAAAACGCCACCGAATGATCAACGTTCATTGGTCCAAAGAGTTAAGGAATTTAATTTTTTTTAAGTAAAATCTCAATTTCAAATATTGTAAATGAAAAAGACAAGCGCTGAAAAAATTTATTTCTCTTATAAAATTTGATTCGATTTAATTTCAAATTAAATGAGGTTTAATATGATTATTGGACACTGAAAATTTCAGACCAAAAAAAAAAATCACCAAACGAGCAACTTTGTCTGTTTCATAACATGACCCACAGCCTAAATGTAATTATGTTTATCTTGCCCTCTTGCCATAACTCATGAACTCTATGTATAATCAAGCACTTCATATATTAATTCATTGGACTAAGATCAGCTTCTTCTAACTCTTTGATCACGTTTTCTCTTGCAATGATTTCGAGCAAACAGTTCACTTGTTTTGAGATGGATGCCCTTCTTTGAATCGTAGTAGACACAGAACTCAGAAGAGACAAAATCTCCTTCTGAGTTTCTAATTAACACTGTTCCTCTATGCAAACCTCCGCCAACTCCCAAAGGAAAAAAAAAAGATGTCTTATACTTGGTAAAGTCTTAGATAGCATGGCAATACACTTTCTTTTTCTCCCTTTTAATTTTTTTTTCTTTCTAGTGGGGTGAGGTGGGAAATTAAGGGGGCTCTTTGATTAGTTGTTTTACAAATTTAACTCAATCTCATTCTAATTTCTTAATACACATACAAAAAAGTTCACCATCTAAGCTAGTGTTAATTTTCGAGTGTAAAAAAAATTGAAGGCGTTGTATTAAAAAAAAAAAACCCTTCTTTGTATGTATGGAAATAAAAATGCGACTATCTTTAAAGTGAAAACTTTGTGTCATGGGCTCAAGGCCATGTTTCTTCTAAACAATTCAACATTTGCGTATTTCATCTGTAAATTTTAAAACTAACGAGGACTATACAGACACCAGTTAGAAAACAAATATCCCTAATTCCCTATGAATCATGATAAATATAAACATTATGCATGCATATGAATTTTCTTTTTTTTAGGCACATTATGAGTGAATGAACCAATTATAGTTTTGCAAAAACAACAACACAACAGTAATTATATATTAATAACACAAGTTGACAAAGTAGAAAGCATATCAACAAAATAGTTCATCCTTGTTAAGATTAAAGTAAAGAAAATTTGGTCCCCATTAGTTATGAATTAATGGGGGCTACGCGAGTTTCACTACTAAAATTCATCTTTCAACATGAACGATATGGTAGTATGGAGTGATTTGTAATAATTGATTTTGTATCATTTGACTTTCCCTTCTTAAGTTACTCGCACACCTAGGTATCTTAGAATCTCCCCAATAAGCTCTCCTTTCCCAGAACCCACATACCTTCCACATATCTCTCCATCTCTGATGAACAAAAACGTTGGCACCTCGATCACGTCCATGTCCTTTAGGAATTGCATGCAGCTGTCGTTTTCGTCACCGTTCATCCTTGCAAAAACCACAGAATCCATCTGCTTGGACAGCTTAATCACCGTTGGATACACCTTGACGCATGGCCCACAATGTTTGAGCCCCACATCTAGAACAATCAGCTTATGGTCAAGCTTGTGGTCTTCAATGAGCTTCTCCACGTCCTCCCTGCAGTGCAGCTGAACCACACCTGAATGACTGTCACCGTAGTATAACACATCGCCCATGAGCTGATCTGGGCCAATCCCTTCTTCTTCATGGATTTTCTCCATGCTTTTATAGAAGCTAAAGTGAGGGACTTTCTCTATTTTCTCTCTTTTGCAAAGTTCCCTAGTCTTCTCCGATTCATCACCCATAACAAGAATGAATTCAACATCGTTGCAAGTCCTGCTAAGATCTACCATAAAAGGATAAATTTTACTGCTATGGTAACTGTGGCTAGCAGCATATTCTACCACAACAAGCTTGTTTTTAGCCATTCTAAGAGCTTCATCGAATTCGTCTATACTGTGAACCTGATGTACTCTCTCATCACTTGGAGCTTTCTTTGTCCCAGGAGCAGCTGTAGCCTTGGTAATGAAACGGAGGGTTTTGCTACTTGTTTCTAGTTTTGCTGAAAAAGGAATAGGCCTAGCGGCAAAGGATGGTAGAAAGGAACCATGGGAGCAAAGAGAACTGATTTTTGGGATGAAATAAAGATCAGAAGAAGGTGGCTTAGTTAAGAAACTTGTGGTTGTAGCCATTAAGAGGTGAGGTAATGATCTCTTCTGGAGTTCCTCCTTGGGGCTCCTGGGGAACAGAAAGAAAAGCAAGCGCTATGGATTTAGGATTTGCAATCCAAAAATAGAAACCACTAGTTTTGGTTCGTTTGGTTCATGTTATCCACATATTCCACTGTTTTCTTTTCTGCATTATTATTGGCCTGATTTTTTAGCACTTTGGATGTTAGATATTTCTTCTATATAATATTAACTTTGATTAATTTCCCGTGTCCTTTTGTTAGTGAAAAAGAAATAGAGTGGCCTATCATTGATTTGAGGTTATTGATAAGATTTGAGAGTTGAGATATCTAAAAGTCTGCTGGACTGGCCTTCTATAAAATGAACATTGAAACGCAGGGTTAAGTTTCAGTCCAGCGGACTTTTAGATATCTGTTAAAGGAGCAAGATTTTTATTATTTTGGGCCAACCCAGAGGTCCAGACACAATGCAGTTCAGCAGAAGAAAATTTCCAAACTCCGGAGCCTTATCTTTTTTAACACCTAACCTGTTATCCGACATAAACTGACTGGATAGCATTATAAGGTCCAAGTTAGAAGGAGGGCTTGAAAAACAGTAATCATAAATTGACAAAAGAAATGAATTACAAGTCTCAAGTCGGAGGAGGCCGAAATAGCAAGTACCAGTGATCAACTTTATCAACCGCTCAAGGCCTTTCAAGTTTCAACTTCATCTTTTGTGATCTAAGATTCAAATCCCCTCCCTCCATCCAAGACTTTTTTCATGTATCCAATTGTATCCAATAACAAATATCTTTTTGCTTTATGAATAAAAAATAACTTTAAACTTGTGAACAGTTATATATTGGCATGAAAAATATCAAGTACCAAATTGCTTGAGTAGTGAGGATGACAGGGGAAAATACAAAGATTTATTAGATGACTAACTTCAAAATTCAATTGTGTCAAAGCAAATTTGAAATTTAACCATTAACAAGGCTAGCGAGAGAGCTACCACTTTAAATAATAATTTATGTATTAATAATAAAACGACATAAGGCGAGGCGATGTGGAAAGATCCAACGTAATTGTGGCCCACATGTCCTCTTATATGTAGCCCAATAAACCATTAAATGTGACGAAACGCACAAAAAGCCAACATATTCAGCGGGATCCAGGCTTCAGAGACTTTGCCAGTGGTCTCGCCACCTAAGCTCCTTCGCTAAAGTTTTTAACCTTGCATGTGCTCCGTGCCTGTGCCCTCTAACCCCGCCCATAAGACCATTTCCTCACTAGTCACTAACTGGTTTTTTTTTTTTTTTAATTTTCAAATTACTACCCACCAGATTATAACGAGTTTAAAATTTTCATCCTTTTTCAAATAGTATATTCTTTCAGTTTAATCATAATGTCACATTAGATCTACACCGTTAATTTTTTATTACCAAATCTCACTATCAGAGTGAACATATGATACACAAAATTAGGTTGAAAATGAGATAAATGAATGTGGCGAAAAATCCGAGGAGATGATTATTATTAAGAAGGGAAGTGTTTAATGTGTTTGTTTTGGATGTAGTTTCACCATCATCGACAGCTTAGAAAAACTGTTTTTGTGTACCGACAAAGTCACAGCTCACCATCACAGACCACCACCCGAGTTCAACAAAAATTCATTCATTCAAAAAAGAACAAAAAATTTCGTTCCTTTCGTTATCACCAACATTTTAAAAATTTAAAACCAAGATCAACAACTGGAGTTTAAACAAAACTAAAAACAAAAAACGAAGTACATGATATCGATTAATTAAAGTAGACAAAAAAAAAAAAAAACTAGGAAATTAAATTGAGGAGAGGTGGAACACAATGCTTAAACAAAGTTACCTAAAGAAAATGGCAAAGATTATGAAGGTGGCACCTTGGGTTTTCTGAGGAGAATCATGTGCATCGGGGAAAAAATTCCAGAATCCCCACCCCTGGTCAAATAATCAGCGGTCTTGAACAGCATCTCGTGAACATCAACGGTTCCTTTAGGAGCGATCCCTATGGCAGCCAGCACGGTGACCAGAATGTGGTTCCTCCAGTAGGCGATTCTCCCCATCTTAAGTCTGGTCCACCAGGGTAAAGCCGGTGGCTTGGCTAGATCTTTCTCCTTGACAACCTCAAAGCCTACCTCTTTAGCAGTCTCCGCAATGTCCAAGTAGCTCCTAAGACCAGGTAAAGCATCACCTCTTTCAATACCTTGAATGATCTCCACGTGTTCCGGGTTATCAGCGATGTACTTGTCAGTTGTGACCCACTCGTAAGACACGTATAGAGATCCGGGTTTCAGAACTCGAAAGACCTCGGCATACACCTGTTCCAGTTTCGGCGCGTGGCATGTTGCCTCGATGGAGTATGCGCCGTCGAAGCTGTTGTCTTGAAATGGCATCTCAAGGAAGTTCCCGCAAACAACTTCACAAAGCGAATCTAGCCCAGCTTTCTTGTTGTGAAGCCGGGCACGATTCACTTGGTACTCGTTAATCGTGATGCCCACGACTTTGGCTCGCGAGTGAGCCGCAATGGCACGCATAGGTCCACCAACGCCACAACCGACGTCCAGGATTCGATCTCCAGGCTTGACGTCGATCAGATCAACAGCCATCTCCTCATGGAGGCGCGTTGCATCCCGGTGGGATTTCCCTGGGATAGAAGGAGAGAAGTGGAAGGATTGGCCCCAACCCCATTCGTAAATATCGGTGACTAGGTTGTAAAAAGTATCGACGAAATCTGGGACCTTTTCGGCGGTTTCGATCTCTTTTGGAGAGCGGAAGAAAGACCAATATTGTTTGTAGTTGTCTTGAACCTTCTCTGCCGAGATTGAACCGCCAGAGAGATCGACGGCTCGCTTGCCCTTTTGCTCGGCTGGGCCCAAAACGCAGACGAACCAATAGAGACCGCAGGCTAAAAGAGCCCCGGTACAGAAGAGAGCAAGAAAATCCATGAGAAGAAACAATTGAAGAAAGAGGCAGAGAGAGAGAGAAAATGAGTGACAGTGGGAAAGGGTGGTAAAGTATAACAATCACTTACCTCCCCAAAACCTAAAGAGGAAATTGTGACATGCTTAAGCGTATTTAGCGCTAAAGTAGATGCGCGTGGGTTGAAATTGTGAACAGAACCACGTGGAGAACATGGGACAAAGAAAGAAGACAATTGTATATGAATACAATGTACTATGTAGGTATAGAGTTACTGCTTTACCCCCCCCCCCCTTTGTTTCGTATGTATTGTAAATTTGCGTTCTCTTATATGGAACTGTGTTTTGCAACATGATATATCACTAAATTTCTTTACTTATATATCAAGTACAATAGCATTCATAAATAACTGCTTGGTGTATAATTTCATTTAACATAGAAAATGAGGTCATTTAGTATTTAGGATGGGCCAAAGTTGCATATAGTTTTCAAATAAAGTTTATAAAATTTTTATTAAAAACAATTACATAAAAATTTATTTTAAAAATTAAAACTTATAAACTGATAAAAATAAATGGTTAAATATCAATTAAATAATAATATGTGAAAAATATTTAAAATGTTATTTATTGATCAATATTTATGTAAGATGAAAACTCTTATCAAAATTTATTAAAAATGTATACATTTGGTTTATGTACCAAAACATTTTAAGATTGAATTTTTTTTATTTATTTAATTGCTTTAAATGAAAATTTTCTTGAACTTAACATGGAGATATTTTTTAATAATAACATCTTAAAAATGATCTTAGAACCATTTATAAGCATTTTCTTAAAACAAGGGAGAAAAATAACTTTAATTCAGTCATAAATAATATTAACTTGCATTTTAAACTTTAGAATGAAACAGTGAACATATTTATTATTTTTTAAGCAATAAGAAGATCCTTACCTATATTTAAAATAAATTCACAATTCTTTTTAATTGAAGTTGCATAATCATCTAGAATGCATTGCGCAGTGAATGTGTAGGTTTGAATCAATCCTCTATTTGTGTCCAAGCATTGGAGTCTTTGAAGAATAAAAAATTTGGAATTAAAAGACAAGATATTTGCCTAGGTTTTTCCGGATATCTCTCTCCTATAACTGCAAATTTTAAGTGGAATTAAGTTCTACCTAAAATATTCCAAACAGAAAACTCATTCAGTTTTATCATTTTGGAAATTCAAACACCATTAACGTTTCCAAATCAAATTCTTATAGATTTTTATAATTTTTTGTGGAAAAAAATGTACAATAAATGAATAATAACACTTGGGTTGTTGAAAGATGAAAGTTTAGAGGGGAACAAATAAAGTCTTCTTATGGAAATTTATTGAGGAAATGAAGAAAGTGAAGATTGAACAGTGAGTTAGATTAAAGCCTTATATAATTAAGTTAAAATTGAATTAAATCAATTTAATTATAAAATTTTTTAATATTTAATTAATTAAATCTGATAACAAAATCTTATTTAAAACAAAAAAATACATGATATGATAGGTTTCGTAGTTGTTAAAATCGAGGGTGTTTTCCATCACATGTACACAAAACAAAACAAAAAAAAAGCCCAAGCCAATGAGCAATGACTTTGGATCGTGCTGTGTTGGAATGTCATAGTTGTCACATTTTTTTTCTGGAAACATAGTGTCACGGTTTATAAAAGTGAGTAAAACGTATGTATTTACATCTATTACAGAAAAGAAAAGTAAATTAATATCTTTTGTTAACCGGAAATTATTTGGTGGCAGTAGGGGCAGATCACGTAGCGCTCCAGCATTGGATAAGATATATCTGGTCCGAAAATTTATCCATTTTTGACTGGATGGCCCTGATCTTTTGGATACAAAAAGATCGCCTTACAGAATTTTAATAAAAGCTCTAGGTTTTAGCTACATTTATTATTTACATCTGATCAAAGAACAGAATTTGCTGAGACCGACTCCGCCTATACGCGACGCTTCAGTCTAAAACTGACAATATATGAATAGCCAGCTATATGCTTTATAGTTAATTTTTCTTAAATTTACAGCTAAAAAGAATCTTCAAAACAAATTGTTTCTCACTTGCTCTCACGACATGTTCCGCATAATCACCTGGACAAATATGCCTTTCCTCTCCTCCCTCATAAAATTCACCATTTCCCAATACTTCCACCCGACTCTGCTTCTACTGCTGATAATAAGTACAACTACTTACTGTAAATAGGCTCTACATAAGAAAGCGTTTCAAACAAGTCGAAAGACGGCAGAAAGAAAGATTATAATAGATTTTGAATTATTGGGTGTAATGACAGATAATTTTGATAAAAGTTTTTAAAAGTCTCGTGATGATCTGTAAAAATTTATATATATATATATATCTTTAAGCATAATAATTATTTATTCTAAGTATTGAATAAAACTAATGAAACAATTAATCATTATAAAATATATGAATGTATTAATTAATAGGAGTTTAATTAATTTTTAGTAATATGTATAATAAACATAGAAGTTCATGTTTAAAAAAAAAAAAAAAAGAGAAACACTTATATTTTAGGGGAAGATTAAAATGAAACCTCTTTAATTATTTTCATATTTGATTTATTAAGTAAAACTCTTCAAAACATCTTAATAATTGAATTAACTCAAAAACCTTGCGATATTTTTGAATTATTTTCACTTTTTCTTTCAATGACAAAACCTTGAGTTGTGATTGGAGGAAAAATCATAATGAAAGTACTAGCAATTAAAATGTTGGTCACACCAAGATTTTCATTAGCACCAATTTTTGGCATATTTGTAATATTTTCTCCATTGTCATTTGGGATAATTTCATAAGAAGCATTTTCATTCCTATCAGTAATAGCTTGGATTTGAGAGGTTATGGTATTAGAAGATATGAGTTGCGAGATAGTCTCCTCCAATTTTGCATATTTTATTGGAAATTTTGAATAATTTTCATCAATTTTTGGATGAAAGTAAGGGTTCAAGCATTTTGATTTCTAATAAAATCTTTCATTTTATCTGATAAAATAAGATAAAAAATTATTTTGTTTAATGAAATTATTCTTCTCAAATAGAGTTGCCAAAATGTAAATAGGTTATTTGTTGAGGTAAAGTAACTTTGCAAACAAATAAAACAAAATGTCATAGCAAACGAATGAGAGGAATAGCGGAGCACACATTTAAGTATCGAGTGCAGTGGCATGTGATGATAGATGGTATAGTAACATTCGGTGTAATGTATTTTTTGAAATAATTTTTAGTGAAACAACTTTTGATACAAAAATTTTCAATAAAAATGTTAATCTTGATCTTTAAAAAAATTATTTAAAAAAAGCTGTTCCGTGAAGTCATTATTTCATAAAAAAGTTGTTATTTAAATAATTGTTTTGTAAGTAGTTATTATGTAAAAAAAAATTTTTATAAATAATTATTTCATAAAATAATTTTGAGTAAAACACTCTTATCAACTGTGTTGATTTATTATCAACTTTAATATCTTTAAAAAATTTTAAAAATAAAATATTAATAATCAAAATGAAGCATCTACGCTTACTATGAAACCAATGAAATTAAAATTAAAAATCATTTTGTTAATCGTATTTTTGTGTTGTCGATTTGCAGTCTTAATATGCTACAAGGGAAAACGGGCAAGGAACGTGACAACAGCCAACCAGAAAAATTTTATTTAAAATAATAAATAATAATATTTCTGGAGTTACCTAACTTAACTTTGTAGTAATAAAACTACTTCTTTTTCCATGAATGTCCCCTTTTGAGTCACAAATTCCCAAAGTGTAGCCGGCAAGTTGCGTTAAAGGCAAATGAGAATGAGCCTGAAGCATTAAAGGCAACCTGGATTTTGGGATATTCTAGTGAATTTAATTTCGGCTTGATGTGTACTCTGTACTCGTAGGGTCTTAATTGGCAGTTTAATTTTTGGTATTTCTTCTTTGGTTTTAAATTTATTAATATTTGGGAAAAAATGAATATAAAACACAAAACAAAGGAGGAGAGTTTCATCGTTCACAAGTTGTGGGAGGGATGTCTGTCAAATTGTCATATGCAGGATTTTAGCTGGCGAGGTTGGGTGTCCAGCAAGGGGGGCACATAAACACCACATTGGCATGGAAATTGGCGAGAGCCAATATGAGGAAAGCTATATCTAATTCTAAGCAAGTGTTTGTAGATAAGGATTGTAGGCTGTAGCTAAGAAATCACGTGGAAGCTTCTTTTAAAATTTACAGCTTTCACTTTATCGGACTTGTACTTTTCTCACAGGAAAAATAAAAAGAAAAAACAAGCCCAAAAGGTACTTTTTCGCCATTGGATCTCGGAAAATCTCTGCTTTTCTTTCCCTTTTGTTTTCTTTTACCTTGCAAAAGGAGCAAAACACCCTCCCCTCTTTTGCATTGCAGGTAGCCTTCCTCTTTTTCTTTTGATTTTTATAGTATAGTAATTTTTAATTCATTAACACTAGTGGAGTTTTCTTTTGTTTAGTTTACTCTATAAATGAATCATCAACCTTTTGGTACCGCGCATAATGCGGTGGAGAACAATGATACCTACGGATTTGATAGTTTTAATTTCGAATAATTAAGATCATAAAGTAAGATTCCCTGCATATATTTAGATAGAAGCAAATCATTAAAAAAAATGATCTTCATAGGTATTGTAAAGGGGAGACAAAGCTATTAAACTTTTGAAAAATTTGAAGTAGGAGTGATAGACAGATCACAGATGGAAGATTAGATGGAAGATTGTAGTGTCTTCTAGTTAACATTGAAGGGGATTCAGGCTAGGCACAAGGCCTGACTAGTGAGTAGTGACTACCATTCTTTTTCCCCTCAAGCTCAAAGGATCAAACCTTTTAACCATTTCTCTACCAACAAAATTTGCGGTCACGTTGAAACAACCAGAAGTTTTGTAAGACGATGAATAGCCCAAACTCGGCTTTATGCCTAAGTAGAACGTGTCTTCAGTGGAAACCATTGTACATAGAAAAGGGCTTTGAGCCTTTGATCCATGATGTCGTCCATCGTAGCCCATGAAATTTCCCGAGGTAACCACCCGCATGCGGATCAAGGGAGATCAGCACTCATCTCAAAGCTGGGCCAAACTATGACAATCTTAGGCCCAAACTAATTCGGATTTTGGCACCAATCAGAATCATAACTGGTGCAGGAACTACCAAAGGAAGGCTTGTCTATCAATCCAGAGAATAAGTTCTTGTGGCAGAGCTGGGGTCTAGTCTTTGTTAGCTTCTCTATTGCAACTCCCAATAGATGCTCTCAATTTTGTTTGCTGCCTTGTTTCCTCTGTTTCCCGCTCTCTTTTTGTAAAACAAAATTTATATTATCCAGAAAAAACGATTTTATGGAAGAAATAGAAATTCGTTCACTATGAAGATATTGGCTTGATCAAGTCATTGTTATCCTTTTAATGAAAGGCTAAGAAGTTAGTAGTTAGGAACCCATTTCAAGGTAACTCACGAATTCAATCTGCTGTAGCTCCTTATAATTTAGATTTAGCTTGGCCTCGGACTAGAGCAGTAAGGACTTTTTCAGGTTAATACCAAACTCACTTTAACTAGTTTCTCTGTAGTCATTAACTAATAATCCAACATGGCCCCAGAGGTATCACTTCAAAGAAAAATCTTCAACAAAGAACGTGGAAGAAACATTGGTCATAGGTAATCGAGATTTATGCATTGCCCAACATTGAAAAACAAAAGGATGGATCTATCAAACCAAAGACACAAATACAAGTAATTTGTTCAAATGATGTAAACCTAATCAAAAAAATTCTCTAAGTGAAGATTTTCTATTGGTAATCCTATTGAAAGGGCAAAACTCAAGCTTGCACGCTTATAATTCGAAGCGTAATCAGAGGGTGCACGATTCCAAAGGGACAATTATTTGAAGGTTTTTATTATTATTTTTATCTTCGGTGGTCTGTCTTACTCTTTGCAAGGTCATGCAAGCTACGCATTAATTCTTCCACAATTGTCTTCAGCTTCTTTCTTCAAATTTAGGCAGTGAAAAAGAAGGAAAAAAGAAGAGTTGTTAAAGCTACAGCCTGTGATATTGCCTCTTCATTTTGGCATCAAGAAGACCAATCAATTTACACTGGACCCCGCAGCCCCCTTGACATCGAGTTTGTTGTGATTTGTCTGTCATTTCTTCAAGTCGATAACCTCTACAAATAGTTAAATGGACATACGAGAAGACAGTGATATAAAAAGGCACCAACAGAGCTTACACTTCACTTGTTTTTTAAACTAACGTCCTTGACCACTTGTTTGCTTTGAAAGTGTTTGCTTGTAGATTGACAGAGGTAGCTTTAGTTTTATTCTTTAGGTATTTCTCTTATCTGCTTTTAGTTTGAGACACAAGTGAAGAGAGAAAGAGAGCAATGGAGAAGCTTTCAGGGCTGAGCCACCTCTTCATGACAATCTTCCTCCACAACTTCGCCACATTTATGGTGATTCCGGCCATCACGGATGTTACAATGGCTGCCCTTTGTCCTGGAAGAGATGAATGCTCTCTTGCCATTTACATCTCCGGATTTCAACAAGCGGTAATGTCATTTTTAAGTTTTACGTCTTCTGGCATATGTTCGAACTTTTCTCTGCCAAGTTATCCAAAACCAAAAATGTTTTAAGATGCATGTAGGGTTCTAGTTTGTCATATAATTACCACAATATTATGCTTCAAGGGTGTCCTTAATTATAGACACCAATTGACGGTTTTGGTTAATGTTAATTGGAAATGTCTAGAATATTGGAATGTGCAATCTAACAAACTGTTAATCATCAGGAAGCAGAAACTTCATCCTTGGAGCATATGACAATCGCAAAAAGTCAAGTTCTGTTTGTCTCACTCACTTAACGAAATTTCTCCTTAATTTCAAGGGAACACCTTTTTTAGCCTTTTTGGCTCCAACTCAAGTATATGGACAAATAGCAAAAGCTCCATCCGCCTTCTCGTACTTAATTTTTCCACTCATTCCCTCTGGTCGGAATTTTCACTTTAACAGAGAAAAATCTTTTAACCTTTTTGGTTTAACATTATATGGCAAGGCTAAACTTTAGTGGGCCAGAGGCTCGTTTTTGAGTCGGTTGCCTGTGTCAACGGCGTTCAAGGCCTGCTGCTTGGCCGTGATTCTTAATTTCAGTCTTTTTGTTGTTACTCTATAATTATTACAGCAGTGAAATTGACATGCACCAATGGCCGCTTACTAATTGCGAGAGTTCCAAGTGAGGTGCCAATTATCTCCGAGTTCCAAAAATACTTTCTTTAGCTTTTCTCGTACCTTCAGAGATGAAGCTTTTTCTTCTGAGCTTCCTTTTCTGTTGTCTTGCTTAGATGCTTGAGAGAGAGAGAGAGAGAGAGAGAGAGAGAGAGAGAGAGAGAGATGGAAAGGTTACCGCTTTTGAGCCATCTTTGTCACATTCTTTCTCTATAATTTCGCAACGTTCATGACGATTCCAGTCAAGGTAGATGTTACCATGTCTGTTAGCTCTTTGTCCTGAAAAAGTTGAATGCTCACTAGCAATTTGTTTCACGATTTCAACAAGCGCTACTCTTCGCTGTCACTTGACTTGATATTCCCTGCCTTTTATGGCAATTTAGCTACTACTACAGCATTAACAGAATCTTTTTGTCACTTGATTAAACATCTTTTAATTGATTCCTAGTCCTACACAACTTTAGCATTTCTGCACTCTAAATCAAAACCCAACAATTGAAAATTGCATATGCTAGTTTACGCTTGTCATCAATGAACGTACTTATCTGATTTTGGGCTAACGTACAAAAGCAGCGTTTTGATTCATTCATTTTTCACCTTTTATTTTATTGATCTGATATTTGAACTAAAATTAAATTACTTGTATTTACATTAAAAAACGCGATTAATGTTCTGAAATTGCCCATATATACATAAAGGAACATACGATTTATGCAGATTATTGGGCTGGGATCACTTGTGATGATGCCTCTTGTTGGTAATCTCTCCGACAAGTATGGAAGGAAGGCTTTGCTTACAGTTCCCATGACTCTCACCATAATTCCTTTAGGTATGTAAATTGCAAAGCTATATTTTGTTTTCATAAAATACTAGTACAAATTCTCCTAGTTTGGGCAAGCTGAAATCGAACAAAATTTATATGAAATTTTATAAGTAAAGTTCGTAAATTCTTTTATTAAAAATAAGTAAAGAAAATTTTTAATAAAAATAAAATTGATAAATTGATAAAATTCAATGTGAAGGTTAATAATATATAAAAATATTATTTATAATTTAAATTTGATCGATATTTATGTAACGATAAAAATTTTATTAATATTTTTATTAAAATATCTATTTAATAAATATATCAAAATTTATAAAAAAAATTTTAAATTTTTGTACGGTTGATTTATGTAATAAAATCTTTAAATTTATCGATTTTTAATTTTTGATTTTAGTTTTTATTTATTCATTTTTAATATGAAACTTTATAAACTTCATCTATAAAACTTTATGCAAGTTTTTTTCAGCTAAAATCAATTTTGAGGGAGATTGGAACAGTAGTTTAACACTGGTATATTCATCAATTAGTATTAACAATTGAAAACGACAGAAGGCAATGTAGCACTTGTTCGAAAATGCTGGGATATTAAAACTATAAAGGAAATTGCACACTTGCCTTTACGTGGAATCAACATCTATTAAGGAAAAAAAAAAAAAAAAGGAAACAGGAAGGAGTGGTAATAAAGCATTATCATAAATTAAAATTCATCATCGAATAAGAAATATATTAACTATATGATCAATTTTATATTAGTTGATAAGATTTTTTTTTTTTTTTTTTTTTGGGATTTCACCATCAGTTGTATGTCAGGGCCTACCTCATGGTGCAGGATCCCTGTCAGTTTGGCTCAAACATAATTTTTACATTGCAATTAGTCAGATCCCAAGTTGTAAGGGGGAAAAGAAAATATGTGGGCTAAATAAAAGCTTGATTTTATGATGTTTGCAAACTGCACTTGTTCATGAGTGGTTGATTGTGGCAATGACGTATTTTTATTTTGGCAGCTATATTGGCTTACAGCAGAAAGAGGAGCCTCTTTTATGCCTACTACGTACTCAAGATTCTCACTGCCATGTTTTGTGAAGGAAGCGTCCATTGTCTCGCTCTTGCTTACGTGGTAATCCTCTCTTTTCCTCTATGAATGGGCCTGCTAAGGTTGCCATTTAGCCCAAGAGGGCTGCCCATGTACTGTGGGCTCAGCTAAGTTTTGGGCTAGTTCCAAGTCCGGCTGACGTTGTTTCTTATCCGAGTATAATGGACATGGGATTTCCCCTTGGGCCCATCTTATTGATCAGCCCCTCAGCCCATAATTTCTTATGTCTGTTTGTTCAAACAAAGTTAATTAACGGTCGTTTCACAATTCCCTCCATGAACCATGATTCCTCTGCCTGCTATCTAATGTTTTCAGCGTCTGAATTTTGAGTTTTGTTCAGGCAGACAATGTTCCGGAAGGGCGACGAGCATCAGCTTTTGGGATCCTTTCTGGCATTGGGTCCTGTGCCTTTGTCTGCGGAACTCTGTCTACTCGTTTCCTCTCAACAGCCTCCACTTTCCAGGTTTCACTTTTCTCTCCTTCTCTCTAAAGTCTAATGTAAGTTCTTTCCAATGAACTGAATTTAATTATTTCCTTTACTAGGTTGCGACGGCAATGGCGATACTGTCAGCAGTTTATATGAGGATTTTCCTTCCGGATTCCATCATAACTGATAATCTTTCTACCCCAATCATCTCTAAAGGAAAACTTGATGGTATTGTTAATCCGGACGAGTCAGACAAGAAAATGCAGATGTTTAAAACTATGCCTTCAATAGTGGATATGCTTGTCTTGTTGAAGAGCAGGTCTCTGAAATTTCCTTCGACGCCTAGTACCTTCTCATCTCTTTTATCATGCCTCTGTTTTTTGAACTGATAAAGGGTTTTAGTTGGCATCAAGCCTTATACTTCATGCTCTTATTGTTTGATTTTTATTTGATGGAGTACCTAATGTTCTTAAATGAATGGCAATGGTGTGCAGCTTGACATTTTCGCAAGCGGCAATTGTTTCATTTTTCAGCAATCTTGCGGATGTGGGCCTCCATGCTTCATTACTGGTACTTTTCTAATTCCATATGAACTGGAGAAAACCCTTTGGTTCTGCTTGAAAAATTAACTGTGGCAGTAAGTTTGGATTCAAAAGTTGTCACTTAGAAATCTATCTATCAATCCATTTGTTTCAAATTTTTTTTTGTTTAATAAGTTTCAATAGTACTAAATTAGTAAAATTTGATGAACTTGACCGGTATTACCATTTCAACTATTATAATCTTAATAAACAAGAAAATAAGTTTTGTTCTTGCAAAATATTTTGATTTCTATCATAAAGAATTTTAGATAAGCGAATTCGACTCCAATGGAGAATATGAACCAGTTAAACTTTCCTGTGCAGTACTATTTGAAGGCCAGGTTTCACTTCAACAAAGATCAGTTTGCTGACTTGATGGTCATTACTGGAGTTGCAGGGACTATATCACAGGCATGACATTTTTGTTCTTTCTTTTTTTGTCATTTGGTTCTTCTTTCATTTATTTGCAATTTTCCTGTTGATCTGACACTGAGAACCATCTTACAGCTGCTTCTCATGCCCATACTAGCTCCTGCTCTTGGAGAGGAGAGATTGCTCTCAATAGGGCTTTTCTTTAACTGTGCACATGTAAGCTACATGTTCACTCTATTTAATTTAGAGCCCATACATGTCAGTTCCATTAATATTTGTCAGATTTTTATTGAGCATATGATTATTGTGTCCTAAATCTTTATTTAATTATCGATGGGCTTGAATGCAGATGATCTTTTATAGCGTTGCATGGTCCGTCTGGGTAATTATCGCAACTTAACTGACATTAAAAAATTTATTTTCCTTCAATTTCGAATATGATTAACCGTCATTTTGCTTCAACTAGTTTATGTTTTATCTTACTATGGCCAATACTTTTGTACTATGGTAGGTGCCTTATGCAGCAGCAATGTTCTCCTTATTCTATGTTTTTTCACAGCCATGTGTAAGCTTGTTACTTCATTTAAGGTTGCAAAATTTTCACCATATCTTCAAGCATATTTAGTGACCAGTTTTTTTTTTTTTTTTTAATTTAAATATCCAGATAAGGAGCATTGTATCTAAACAAGTTGGACCCTGTGAGCAGGTATTCTTTGGTAGATGAGCTTCTTTTGGCAGCATTTTATATTAAGTCTTGTGAAGATAAATCTTGCTTTCATTAAATAAATAGAGGCTTTTTCCTTTACCATAGAGCAACTGAAGTGGAGCTTATAACTAGGTTCCAGACAAACTGTATACCATTAGGCACATCAAACATAAGTCTGAGAAAAGTTACTTGAGAGTATAATTGCAAATGAGAGAGGCAGAAAGCTGATATAACTGAAATTTGCTTACCAAATATTTGATATGTATCTTTTTCGGCAGATAGTTCCCTTCTTAAGTGTTATCCACCTATTTTGACTAGTTCCTTTGGTTTTGTTTCTGCGTTTGTTAAAACAGACTAATGGCTATTGCCTTTTGACCTTTTTTCAGGGGAAGGCTCAAGGGTTCATTTCAGGCATAGGTTCCTTTGCCAATGTAGCTTCTCCCTTGGTTTTCTCTCCTCTGACAGGTTAACTGAAACTTAAGTTAGTTCAACCTTCGGCTCATTCTAAATTAAGACTGACATAGTTAACTCATCCTTCCAGCTTTGTTCCTGTCTGAAAGAGCTCCATTTTATTTCCCTGGTTTCAGTATTATGTGCGTAGGGTTTGCCTCGGTAAGCACCTTATTATATAATCATGGGTATTCTTTTCATCTATGTAGTAGACTGTACACATGTGATGGGAGCAATATTTTTTATCATATTTCCGTCCTCTTGGAGTTGTAAATTGCAGCCCTGCAGTCCATTTTATCTGCTTTAGGGCAGTTGTAATCAAGGGTGTGCACAGATGCCATTCATGAATGCTTGGGCTGCCAGCTATACAGATAATGATCGGCCCAGTCAACCAAACTATTGTATTTTTCCATGATTCAACGAAACCTACAATAGTATTAGATTGTTAGATAATGTTTTCTAACAAAATCATCAGAGCACAACTGTGCATTCAACTTGCAAATTTGGGTTTCTTTCTTTGTTTGTGGGTGCAGTTACTAATAGAGAAATTTTATGTAGATGATAGCGTTTGTTCAAAGTCTCATGATAAGGGCCGTCCCTCCAATTTCAAGTCAGAGAGTTGGCAACTGCAACTATATGGAAGCCTAGCAAGGAACGTGTGTTTCAAACCCTTTATATTACTCTAAAAAAATCTTTCAGTAGTTCTTATATACATACTTATCAGTAACTACCAGAAATGTTGAAGTAGAGCTGCTCAAGTTGAAGTGGTTTTTTATAGCTTTGCAAGCTGTAGCTTTCAACACATTTGACTTGGTATATATCATAGAGCCTATTCGGTGCTGCAGAAAGCCAGGAGCCTTATTTCAGCTATATCTGCAAGAGACACACTGAATGCTAGTACCTCGTTCTAAAAGCACATCAATTATGAATTTTTTTTTCGTTTTTTGGAAGGGGCTCATTCATTACGATAGTATTAATGCTTTATTGTATCATTACAATTGGAAATATCCCTGAACTTTTTATTATAGTCAGTTTTTATTAGTAGCTAAAGAGAGACAAGCATGTTATCTTGGCATTAAATGAAGCTCTCCCGCTATCTGCCGGAGAATTGCAAGAATTGGGGGCATAAGCAAATACAAAGATATTCTTGTTCATGTTCTTTTCCAAATTTATCACAAAAGTGTCAAAAGCTTCAACTACGGAGGTGATTGACTTTTTCCTTTTTAAATGCAAGGTCTAATGTCCCTCTCATAGGTCTAATGAGTGAATGTTTTGTTTTATTTTATTTTATATGGTAAAACTTTTAATACTCTTTTAAAAGGCCACACTTCTTACGTAGTTGCTAATTTGTTCCAAATAATTTATTCTTCTACTGATCCCATGGCACTTCCAAATGCCTATTATCTCTGTTTTTCTTTTCTCTTTCTTTTGGGGTGCCAAAGCTAAAACAACTTGTTGAGGGTGAGATTATTGAGATTGTCTTTCTCAAGGAAAATTAACATCAAATTAAATGAAAACTTAAAATCAGGCTGCAACCAAATCTACACATTCAAAGCAAATGAAAGATATTAAGATATAAAAGCATCACACTTTTTCATGTTTACCTCATACATTTTCTCATCCCCATTACTCAAACTCTACTACTCAAAAATTAGAAGACATGTACGAGATGGCAGGTACACGAACTGTTCCAAATAACTTAGTTAACGGTCACTTTTCCAACCATACCAGCACCCTGGTGAGGAGAGCAGTAGAAACTGTAACTTCCTTTCTCAGTCAAGGTAACAGCGTAAATTTCTCCTGGGGCATTGAGTAGGTCTTCATCAGACATAGAGATTTTCGAGGCGTCGACACCGCCTGGAATTTCGTCCTCATCGAAGACAACATTGTGTGGGAAGCCGGCATTATTCTTAAAGACAATCTTTTCTCCAGAACTTACGCTGAATTCGCTGGGAACAAAAGCCAAAGACCCATCATCACCACCAAGCTTGACTTCAATGGCCAAGGCATTGCTGGCAAGAATTGCGCTTGCAGCAGTTGCGGCCACAGCAACACCCAAATCTTTGAGAGAGGCCTTGATGCTGACCCTTGGGACTGCAGAGGTTGCAACCTTGGCTGTGGCACTAACTTTAGCTGCGGTTGCACCAGCCTTGAGGCTAGTGAAAGATGGGATAGCAAGAGCTGCGGAAGTGACAGTGGCCATTGTGCAGGGCTTCTTGAATAGATATGTGTTCTGAGTCGCAGTGAGGGAAATCAAAGGGAAAAGAGAGAGAGTGGTTGGCTTTTAATACTATGATAAGGTTTGATTTGTGTGGTTTGAGTTTGAGGAAGGACATGTGATCATAAGGATGGTTGGGTGAATGGGTGGCGAAATGGGTTATCTGATGAGGATTCATATGACTGGCCGGTCGGATACTATCCCACAACGTGGCATAGCCCCTCTGATGTGAGGTAGAGAATAGAAGATGAGGAAAAAAACGCCAAATTAATAGAAGAGGATTGCTGTAGCATTAAGAACCAGCTAATGCAACCTACAGATTTTTACAATTCTTCTTTCTCAGAAATGTAATTTCCTCAAATGTAGTTAGTTTCACATTTAGATCCTGTTTTTTCTTGAAGCAAACAGTTAAAGGAAATATAAGTGTTGAGTGGGTCTCTAACCTCAATATAAGGCAAATTTGAAGGAGAATAACACTTTAACCTAACGTACAGAAACCAGAATCTAAATAGATTCTTGTTATGGCAGCGTTATTACTATAAACTGTCGATTAGTTCAATCAGGAGGAGAAAAACAATCTATCTTGTTGTTCAACCTTACCAGTTACAAACAAGTGGTGCAGGGGGCCGTCGAGGGGTGATATTTTTGCCACTCCCCGGCAAACCCCAAATGTGATGCATATCGCACAGACCCATTACAACAACAAGATTTTTGCGTGTTGCGATAGAACGACCATTTGAGAGTAAAGTCACCACAAAATACAGATACCATCGAAGGTAACATTGAAAATATAATGATATCTACCTAGATGGCCAATTGCAGCCAAATTTTTTTTTTTTGAATATTCTAATCTGTCTAAACTTTTGAAAATCTCAATATTCCAATTTGAAACTCTGAATTTCCACTCTAAAGCTTTGAAAAGGTTGAGACCAATATTGGGTCTGAATATATCACAAGCCCAATCGGTTTATAAATTCGTCTTCTTACAGAAGAAATCCAAAGCTAAAATTCAAGGACTTGTTTCCAAGTTTCACCTTATAAGTCCATTTCTAACGAATAGGATTGATGGTATGGTTGGACGACCATTTCATATATATACGACTGACAATAGCTAGCTTCCGCCCAAAACCCGCGGAAAGGTCCATGGTGCTCGAGAGATCCACCTCTCTTTCTGAGTTGAAATGTTGCCAATTTCTTGTAGAGAGGTGGGTATCTGCACTCTTACAAAGTTATGATTTCATCCTCCCCTTAACCATTTCTAGTCATTTCTAGTCTAGGTTTTAATAGCATGCAAATCTAACTTGAAAACTTTGAGCAAAAAGCTTCTCTTAGCACATCAGGTAGAATGTAAATAATCATTCAATATATGGTCTTATGACCAGCGGGATGCCTACTAAATCTTATATAACTTGATCATAGAACCATGAACATTTTGGAGTAGATGATGCTTTGCAGGAGCCAAAACACATTCACTAACCAAGCATCAACTAAATTCAATCTAGTACATATGCTTGGAATTCCGATAAGTGTTAAAATATCCTAAAAGAGAGACATGCAGCTAAATCGTAAGATGATGAGATTTAACAGTCTATTGGCACAGTGAGACAAGCAAAGAGCCATTGGGAAATATTGGAATGGGACCTCAAAGCCCAATTCCAAAAAGCATCTAAAATAGAAGTTGGCACTAATATGAAACCATTGCTTTTGATGAGGTAAATAAAAATACCTAAAGAAAAGCATTCTAATAACCATCTGTGGATTACATTATAATTAACCTATAACCAAAGCAACACACATCAAATTCCCTAACACCCCCCCCCCCCCCCCCCAAACAAATGGTATATCCAGTACCTAACTCAATCAGATGCCAACACTAGTTTCTCTAGGAGCATTGTCACCGCATCATCATTACTATTTTAGCCAACCCTTATTTTGTGTTGCAATAGTAATAGACATTTGCAATTAACAAGTACAAACTTTTTAAGAGTTTCCTTCCTAAAATATAGCTACCTTAAAAAAAGCCCAAATTCTAAAATTAAGCTAATCCTTTTTCTAGATAATTTGCACCTGAAGATTTGATGGGGTCATTACTACATCCCATGGAGAGTTGAAAACACTGTCACTTAATGAGAGCAAAGTCTAAAATAAAAAGCTTATAACATATACAAAAATTTAAGACAAAGAAGCTTAGAACATGTTGCCATCCTTCAGAATAAGGCATAAAAGTGCATTGATTAATATCCCTCAACAGAACAACACTGAGCTGAAGAACATTCAATACTATCATTATTATGCTAAGCATTGTTTCCATGTTTTTCATTATAAATACCCAGTAATCAATGTGAGAATTACAATGTTTAGCTGAAAAGAACCCTACAACTTATTAATTACGCTAAGACATGTAAAGCTATATACAAACATGATTCAAATCAGTATCTCAATATAAGCAAAGAAATGTACACTGTATGAGACCATCAATCGATCACTTCATATAGGAAACACATTGCCATTACCATCATCATCTTCCTCATCGAAAAACTTGAATCCAACGTCCCATTGGCGATCCCTTTTATAATTGAAGCTGGGGTTCACATAGCATTTCATCTCATGAAACAGATTCAAATTATCCACCAGCTTGTGAAAAACATTGCATCCACAACACTGCACCCACCACCACCAAATAACTTAACAACTCAAAAATCACAATATGCAAATAAAGGGAAAAAAATTCAAAATTCCACCTTGACGTTCAAATTGAGTTGTCTTAGATTAGACAGGTTACCTGAACGAATACCGTGCCGTCGGTGTAAGCGTGGGGATTGATGGCACGAGTGGTTCGTTGGCCGCAAACATTGCAAGTGAAGGCCACCCGCATCCGTCTACGGGGCGACTTGGTGAAGAGAGACCATGGAAAGGTGGAGACTTTCTCTGTATTGGATTGGTCCTCGGTTCCAGCGGGCACAGATGGACCTTCCATGCCCGACCCTGTAGTCCAACCTCTTAAAGACGCCGCGCTCAGAACCAACCCCATAGCTGCATCCTAAATTGAATTCCCCAAAAAACCCCCACAACAAAACCCGATTCACCATTTCGTCCTAAAAATTGAAAAACAATAAAAAAAAACTTTGTTTTTTTACCTTGGAGAGAGTTTGATTGCCGAAGAGAGGGACGATGCTTGCGTTGTTAGGATCAGATTGGAGATCGGAATCATTATTGTTCTCTGATAATTAAAATAAAACAGAAGAAAATAGGTGTAAAAAACGGTAATTACAGCCGAGGAAATTAAAAAAAAAAAAAAGAGATCGGAGAGTTGAAATTAAAAGGTAAAACAAATACTTTTGGAAGGGATGGGAAAGCGGATGATTCTTGCCCGAGAATCTTTTCGTTTAGGAGAGAAGAAGGAGAAAGAAGAGGAGACGATAGCAGCAGCAGCAGCAGGAGAGCCGAGAGTTTCCATGGGCGACGCGATGAGAATGCTCGGGGGTTCAATGGACAGAGACCGACTTTTCACTGCTGTCTTGGTTGGATCCTCAACGCAAATTGATGGCCGGTTGCCCACATGATGCCTTAAAAGCCACTCATTTATTCATGTAATTTAAAGACGAATTAGACAACTCAGAGCTTGAGGCCCATTATGTTTGGATAAAATGGACCAATAGAGCACACACAAATTATACATGCAATGTCGAATCAACCCAAAGTAAAAGACTAGTAGTCTGGGCCTTGCTAGAGGATTTTTTTTTTTTTTAACTTTTGTTGAGGAGCTTTACTGGGTTTTTTGTAGTTGTCGCGTGTTCATTGCTCATTACGTATTAAGATTACACGACATCGTTCCTCCTTTATTCATACAAACATAAACTAAGAGAGCCAAGCACTTATGTTTTTTTTTTTTTTTTGGGGGGGGGTAAGAGCTTATTTTAATTTGATCTGTTTCTCATTTGTGTGAGAAAATGTAGTGATTATAAAAATTAATGCATCAATTAAAAAGTTTATTTGAATCCCTTTTCTTAATTAAAAAAAATAATTTGACCTAAATGTTTTCTTTAAGTCAAGTGATAGTTCAAGTTTTAATGAGACAGAATCTGACAGCCAAAGGGTCTAGGCCTTGAGGTGCACTGAAGGTCTAGGTAGTGAGAAACTAGCCCAGAACAATGATGGAGGCAATGATCAAGACTCTAGAAACTTATAGAAGGTGTTTAAGTTCGACAAAATTGAGCCAGGCCTAGGGGTCGGCTCTAGTGCACAATGTGTGGGCACCTAGTCAACCTAGGCAGGAGTACTAATGATCGAGGTGTGGTGCATGGTTGAGCCCAAGTGTGGGCACACCTGAACACAGTCTTAGAAATATCAGATTTGAAGGCTTTCAAAAGGGCCGATGCTAAGCATGATTTCAGTAAGTCAAAGATTGTGCAGTATCACAAATCCCCTAGAATCAGGGATTATATCTCATATTCTAAATTTAAGGTATTTAACTAATATAATTTCTAGAGTTTAGGAATGTATTTCAAGCATTAAATGTAAATGGGCTTAACTATAAATAGAGAGTCCTTCACTTTCATGTACACAAAAAAAAGAGACCATAACCATTAAATAATAATATTCTTACTCTTATCTTAAACCTTTCTGTTGTTTTTTTGTTAGTATTTCTTCAGACACTTACTGTGTTCATTTGTTTTACAGCATATTAGACGGTTAAACCCTGTAGTTTAAAGTGTTCATGCACTGTTTCTTATGTTAAGTTGATTTGAATTGCAGAAGAGTCCATCATTGTGTCTTGAAGCTACACGAGCTTAAAAATTTAAGTCTTGACTTGTGACAAGTGGTATCAACGCCTAATTCGAGAGAGCTAGAAGTAGGCCACAAAGTCTGATACCAAGTGGTATCATTGCCTGGTTCAGTGGAGCTAGGTGTAGGTGGTAGAACCAAATACCAAAGGGTATCGGAGCCTAGATTAGACCAGAGATGATGACCAGAACCTTGGTTTGGAGTGTGCAATAGATCTTTTTTTGTGACAAAAAGAGCTAGAGTTACTGTGAAAGCCAGAGTTAGTTGGGGAGCCAAAGTTGGCATCAATGCAAGTTGGGGGACTTGCGTACAAGCATCTTAGTGTGGTGTGCGAACATTGTGATGTGTTGTGCACGCATCTTACTATGTGTACGGATATCTTACTATGTGTACAAACATTATAGTGTGTTGTAGGTGGTTTACGGCGTGGTGCGAGCATCCTAAAAGGCCTATCGTGCTCGTGTACTAGTGAAACATTTTTGGTGTGTTGGGTGCGAGTGTGCTAAAGTGCAGGATAAGTGCTCATACTGCATGTTGTGGGCGTACTATACATGCTGTGCAAGTGTGAAAGTGTACAGACTGGTGCCTGAGCTAGAGGTTGGTGTGCTAAACCAGTGTGCAGACTAATGCCCAATAGTGTTTGTTATGCTGGTGTGTTATGCTAATAGACTGGTGTAGTGGTTGGTTAAAACCAGAATTGAATTGCTTGAGTGCCTACTAGAGTTGAGATAAACTTTTGGTTTGTGCATTTGTAGTCTAACAGTTTATATATTTTGTTTGTGGCATGGCTAAGGAAAACTAGATATGAGGCCAAAATAAGGTGCTCAAAGAGTACCCACCTATAAATAAGTGAGAGAAGGTTTTTTTTTTAGACAATAGATTAATTTGGAGACATTAAAGGATCATCAAATAAGGCAATGAAAAAGCTCATGCAGCATAATAAGGCGTTGAAGTCCATGGCGACAACCTTGATAGAAGAGCTAGCTAGGCTTAAGGTGGACCACATTGTATTATGAGCTACCATAATTGTTGGTACGAGCTTCGGACTGAGAGTGAAGGTGCCTAAGTATTTCATTGATGGAGTAAAGCCATGGGTAAAGGTAAAGCTATAACGAAGAGGCATGCAGTAGTTGAGTTAGACCAGCGTTGCTGTAAAATCACTAACTCAGGATAAATGCACCAAGTTTATAAAGTTGAAGAAAAAAGGCCAAAGTGGGTGAGACACTGATGTTTGTTCCTTAAAGGAAGAAAGGGATATGGGAAAGCCTAGAATTTTCAAGATCGATAGAATTACCAGTAGGGGCAAGAGGTTATTAAGTTACTATTTTTGTGCCAGTCCATATCTAGTTAGGGAGTGCCCAAAACTTTTAACCATCAAACAGGTAAAGAAGCTATCCGAAAGTAAGAGTGACAAGGGTAAACAGCACCAGAAGAAAACTAAAAAAGAGCAGTCAAGTGCTAATTGAGACTATTGAGGGGAAACTAGCGACAGTGGAATGCCACGGCATGAGTTTTACAGTGCAACCAGATTCTTCACATAAGAGTGTACAACGGGTAACTCAAAGAAAATGTAAGAGGCGTTAATAGTGCAAGCAAAAAGGATTATTACAGCAGAGTATTGAAAAACTTCAGATCGAGAGCAACAAAAGCTAGTAGAGTACATGTTCGGGTATGAGACTAAAATGTTATAAAACTGGATCGCAAGGCAGGAGTTGGAATTGTCGTGCAAGGTGAGCGCATCATCCCCTTAGCAATGAAGGCGTTGCTGAAATAAGTATGGGATAATGTCACAGTTCGTAAGCTGGTCTATGCCTAGGGGTTCTCTTCAAGTCGAGTGATAGTTCAAGTTCTAGCGAGATAGAGTTTGACAACCAAAGAGATCGGGCCTTGAGGTGTACTGAAGGTCTAGGTTATGGGAACCAACCCAAAATAATGGTGTGGGCAATTTTCAAGACTTCAGAGGCTTAGGAAAGGTGTTTGGATTTAATAAGATTGAATCAGGCCTAGGGGTGGGCACTAGTGCATGATGCGCGAGCACCTAGTTGGGTCCAAGTAGGAGCACTAATGATTGAGGAGCGAGCGTATGGTCGGGCCCAAATGCAAGCAAGCTTGAATACAGTCTTAGGAGGATCGAATTTGGGCGCTTTTAGAAGGCCCAGTGCTTAGCATAATTTCAGCAAGTCAAAAATTGTACAGCAGCACCAAATCCTCTAAAATCAGGGATTGTATCTTATCTCCTAGAATCAATGGATTTAACTAGGTAATCTTTAGAGTTTAGGAATGCATCTTAAGCACTAAATGTAAAGAGGGCTCAACTATAAATAGAGAGTTCCCCACAGTTATGTACATAAAAGGAAAAGATTAGAACCATTGAGTAATAACATCCATACTCTTGCCTTAAACCTTTCTATTGTTCTTTTGTTAGCCTTTCTTCAGATACTTACTGTGTCCTTTTATTTTGCAACGTACTGGGCAGCCAAACCCCGTAGTCAAGAGTGCCCATGCATCGTTTTTTGTGTTAGGCTAATTTGGGATGTGAAAGAGTCCATCTCCATATCTTGAAATCGCGCGAGTTTGGAGCTTGAAACGTTCGACACATTGAACCCATTTAGTTGTTTGTAGCAAATATTTCTTCTTACAAAGAGATTCCTTAGTGTTGACTAATTACATTAAACTTTTGTCATTAGACTTTTATAATACCATGGAGGATTACTTTGATCAAGAATGGATAATAATAAAACAAGTGACAAAAAGAAAGTGCTGGTTGAAGTGTAACTTTGAGAGAAGGGGAAGAAAAAAGAGAATATGAGTAGAAGATTCTGTCTGTTTGGCAATTTAGCATCAGGCATCTATTTTATTTGGTTGCAGGATCCTATTCCAAAGCGAGGATACAAATCTCACGCAGGAACGAATAATGATAATATATAACATATTGTAATTCACAACAAGCACAGACCAAGAATCAGAATGTCAAACACAAAACAGCCCATCCACCACCCAAAAGGTCTCACTGATCAATTTGGATTGGAATAAGCAAGGTAAGTCAAAATGGCTGACGTGTTGAACCCATTGAAATTGGACCCAGCAGCCGCCGTATAAGCCCCCATGTTGGGGAACACCAGCCAGTCATTCACCTGTAGCTCAGGCAGCGGATAACCCTTCAGCACAGTGTCAAGCGCATCACACGTGGGTCCAAACACGGTGGAATCGTAGCTTCTCGCTCCTTTGCACGTTGAGTTGCCACGATTGGATGATTCTGCGAGAGGCATGCACGTGACAACGGCATGATCGTAGAGAATACAGTTCATGGAGCCGTAGATCCCATCATTGATCCAATATTCTCTTAGATCACCTCTAACGCGCTTTCCTATAATGTTGGTGGCTAGTGTGAAAGCTGACTCCGCAAAAAACCGACCAGGCTCGGCAATTACTGTTAAGCCTGGCTCGTTTGGAAAGTAAGCTTGGAGAGCAGCTTTCACCGTAGACGCTGCTTCACCGAATTGTGGGCCGGCTGTGAACCCTCCACCGATGTTTAGCACACGCATTTTGGGCATACCAAGTCTAGCAGCCGTCTCAAATACAGTTTTAGCTACTGCTATGGCTGCTCGATAGGCTCGAAACTGCATGGCTCCGCTTCCAATGTGGAACGAGACACCTGTGACGGTGAGCCGTGCAGCTTGAGCGGCCTGGAGAAGAGGGGTGACTTCCTCGGGGAGTGCACCGTATTTGGGACCTAAAGGGCATCTTGCGCCGCCATCATCCGGGGCTTTGACTCGGATCAATAAGGCACATTTAGGGTGCCACTTCTTAATCTTTTCAAGTTCCTCTTTAGAGTCGAAAGTTGCTAGGTTAACGCCAACTGTTGCAGCGTATTTGATGTGGGACTCTGCTTTGCATGGGTTAGCAAAAATGATCCTGCCAGGTGAAACACCAAGAGACAAAACGGATTCAATCTCGGCCTTGCTTGCGCAGTCGAAGCCCGAGCCAAGGGCAGCCAGTGCCCCAAGGAAAGCTGGGTTGGGGTTGCACTTGACGGCGTAGAAAGGCTGTGCCATGGGAAGGTTACGGGCCCACTTTTCAAAGAGGGTTATGACAACACCCAAATCGAGCACGTAAAAGGGTTCTCTGAATTCATGTTTGGTTGAAATGATTGACTGAATGAAAGCAGTCAAACCATCTTTCGACAGAGCCGTGACCTTCTTTCCTCTCACCCCAGGCGCACCCACAATGGCCTGGAAGGTCCTAGTGCTGGAACCCATGGCAACTGATCGACACAAAAAATAGTAAAAACTAAAAAGCAAATTCTTTAAACTGCTAGATGACAGTTTTGAAAGTATTAGTAATATTATCACTCTTCAGGATTGAGCGTGGGTATATATAAAGAGAGACAGGGTTAGGGTGGCACCACATCATTTTTTTCGTGGTGGAGAAAAAAGAGAAAAGGTGTCTATAATTGAATTAACTTTTTCATATTTGGAGAATAAGCACCAAATGTGAATAATAATCGAGTATAAACCTGGTCTCATTATTACAGGAAATTTGTGGACTATGGAGTTTCATGACAAATGTGATTCCATTTATTAAACGCAGTTAGATTTTTTATTGGTGGATCAGGAACAGCAAGTTACTACGAATGATTCTAAGCGCGGAAATTTCGCGTAAGCAGCGAATGGAACGCATCTAAGCCGGTGATTTATTGTGTCTATATATATGTATATATGTATGTATAACCAATTGAAGAAACGTGCGACCCAAGCTGATCTAGATTAGATAGTCCTCCATGCACTTTTTTTAACAGTACCATGCTTAATTTTTTATTTACTGACTAGTGTTGCCACCGAATACCAAATACTTCAAGAGGTCGGGCTGTTGTAACCAAAATCCAATACAAATGAAGTCTAATTACATCTAGAAAGAGAAACACATTTATAAAATCTATGGGGTTACTTTTCAAAATAGAATTCTTTGTTCTCAACTCTCAACAAAGTCCGCTTTTGAACTATTCATTTTTTTATAGAGGGGGTTTGATTCTTATATTCGTTGCTTTTATTTATCCAAAACAACACGTAATATTCCTGGGATTTCCATTAATACAGAAGAAGATAAAGAAGAAATCCGTGCACTTTGTACGATATGCTTTTCAAATTTTGAATTCTTACGTCTTTTATTAGTGCATACGAAACATTAAAATGGTATTATTTTATATTTAATAAATATTTAATTTTTTATAATTTTATATTTAATTTAAATTTTTATTTTTATTATTAATTAATTTTAAATTAAATATTTAATATAATATCAAATTTTAGATTTTATTTTATTATTTTTTTAAATTTATCATGTACTAAATTTTTTTTTATTTTCATTTACATGTTATGAAACATGTTAAAATGATATTGTCTAATATCTAATAAATATTTAATTTTTTATAATTTTATATTTAAGTTAAATCTTTTAATTTATTATGAAATTCATTTTAAGTTAAAAACTGATCATAAAAATTTTTTCTCTTTTTCAAATTAAAATAAAATTAGTTTCTTTTTCGGTTTTGGTAAAGGATGCATGTGCCCCTATTGCCAATATCATGCCACTTTGGCGGCGTCTTTGCGCGTAGAAATGACATAACGAAATAGTCTAACCATACATTTGATGAGGTTTGTTCGTCAAATATAAATAATAGTTTCAACCTAAATTGGGTTGAAAAATTATATTTAATTTATTAAAGTGAAAATTACTCTATAATATCTTCAAAATCAATTTGAATGGATCATTAGTTTAAAAACCCATTTAGGGTTACACATTTGGCAATCTACTTATATATATATATATATTTAAGCCTCCAAACACAATACTAAAACTGATCTTAAATATACTTAGGTCTGAGTTAACTCTGTTAATATTTGTAGATTCCATGGTTTACAAGGCTCAATCAAATATATAAATAAATAAATAAAAATGATGGAATGAACTTGGAACCTTGCTATTTCATCCAAGTCTTTTCCTCCTTAAGGAGAGAGACAAGGTAAGTCATGATCTAATAGGCTGCCACCGAAGCCATTACGCAAGAGGGCTTGTTTGGTGTGCCAAGCAATTAGTTGTGTCACGCATTCCATATTTTAATTTTTCTAGAAATGTCCAGTTTTTTATTTTAAGTTTGGCATCGAAATTAATGGAGTAAGGAACCATTTTTCATACCATCATTAATTATTAGAATTAAATGATGGCATTAATTTCTCTGTTTGAGCCAGTTACACTTTCGGTCTCCAGAGGATAATAAAAGGGGATTTGATAATTTATATCATGATATGATGAAATAATTCGAATATGATATGAAAAAAAAAGATACGAAAGTAATATAATTTAAAATTTTAATAATAATTATTTATGAGTTTAATAAAATCAAAAAATATATTTTATATTTTTTTATCAATATAAATTATAATACGTAATTATATAAAATATGACATGAATATACAAATTTAAATATTTTACATAATGTGAATATATAAATCGTCAGATTTAATCAATAAATATTTGAGTGTCTATATAAGTAGAAAAAGTAATAAAATTAAATTGTTGGGAAATTTATTATTTTTAATAAGTGCGCAAATCAAAGAAGTTTAGTATGTAATTATGTATGTATTATGATCCATGATCTATATTATTAATTAATCATAAAGAGTGTTTGGTAAAATTTTATATGTATTGCGTGAAAAACATCGATTTATGACTTATGAACAATAGCCTAATGGCTGACGAAAATAAATAATGAAATAAATTATATCAAATATGAATAAATTAAGGTCTTGCTAATGGATGTCTATAAATATTATTTAAGGAAAAACATTTTACATTTAATCTATGATTTTCATTAAATAACAAATAATACATTAATTTACATATATATTTTCTTAAATGTCATTACTCTTTGAACAATAACACGTGACACACGTTATTTGGTCATACATGTTGAAAAGTATTGGTTAACTGTCCATTTGACGCATGTATTATATGTTTAACGTATTCCGTTGAATGCTTGCGATAGGAAAAACATGAGTCCTAGCTATCTAACTTCAAAGTTCAAAATTGGCATAACAATTGGTAAAAGATTTTGAAAGTCCAGATTTGACACAGGTAATTCATGGAAGTACTTGTTGGAGAAGTACACAAGTTTGGGTTTATCTACATATTTCTTTTCCTTTTTTTTTTTTTTTCAAAATATGAATGATTAATTTTTCTAAGCAAAGATGACGTAATTGTATAGATATGCCCCCTGGCCCGTTTGTCTATGTGCTGGTTATGTGGTGATTAGGGAAGCAATTATTAATATCTAGCCATGGAGGTTGACAAATTAATAAAGGAGATTGCTTTTTGATCAGTGTCGTGATTCGCCAACGGTGGGCATGGAAAATTAATTAAGTGGAATGGATTTGTAGTCAACATAGTTGGCTCTTGGTAATTGTTAATATATTTGTGATTAGTTACCTTGTGGGATGGGCAAATTTACCATGGTACTATAGGCCAATGGCAGAAAAGTTCATTGATCAAGTAATTGACATTTGCGCACCCTAAATTGAACCAGCGAAAGGCCCTTTAATTTCCAATGGGGCCATTTTCCGTGTGTGAAATAGACAAATAGTGGTGAATACCGAAATTCTTCTCTTCCTGATCTTCCCATTTCCTATACTAATATATAACATGATCATCAGTTGTCGGTAAAATTTCTAAAACTTTCCCGAATATCTCTTCATTTCTAAAGTCGAAACAATTTGTACATGCAACGAAATTCACGAGTAAGGCTACTAATTTTCTCTTTTTTATTTGGAATATAATCAAATCTGCTAGTCCTTAAGCAACGCATTGCATGTTATAGCAATCATCGAATGCTAGCCGAAACCAGAAAAATCATTCTCAAATATAATTTTACCAGACTGGCAGATGATCATATACTAACAAGAATCTGGTTGACAGCAAGGGAAAACTTATCAGACAGCAAAGAACTGTACGTAGGGTCATCCCTGTGAGAGTAACAAATTAAGGGGGACAAACAGAGAGATAAATAACTTTGTACATAGTGGCATGCATACATGAAAATTAAATTTTTGAAAGGGATGGCAAAATCACACAAAGGAGTGTACGTATACATATACCAAGAAGAAACACATTGAATCCTGTTAATTCATATACCAATTGCTAGATCGATCGCCATGCACGCACGGCAGTAATGAATGAGGGAATCTTTGTCTGACTGCCAAACTCATAGCAGGCCTTCCTCGTAAATAAATGTCATGCAGATTCTCTTCTTCTTCACCACCTATCTAATTTACTCTTCTTATTAAAGATTGGCCAACGGTCCCCACTTCTCTCATTAACTCTCCTCAACTGACTCCTCTCTTCTTAACTTTATAATTCAAGCTCAAACTGTAGAATTATTTGTCTGTTTTCCTTTATTTTTAAAGAGATTGGAATACGTTTTCATCCATTTAAGTACTAGTTAATCAATTACTAATATCACAAGCATTTATCCAAGTAAATTAATAACCAAAATAATAAATCTATATTGGGAGGTTGGGAGTAGTGTTATGACATGTCCCTGCAGACTGCGTGGAGAGCAATGAAAATGTTTAGTATAAAATTAAATAAAAAAATTTTGTGACTTTTTTCGTCCATTTATTTATATAAAAATGTCATTATATATATATATATATGTACTCATCATCAATCAAAAACAGCTCTTAGGTTTAATTGAAGTTTGTTTTTTGAACAAATGTCACCATGCTTTCGGATAATGAACTTTGCCTGTGAGGCAATAAAGCTCAAATCAATTAGCATTTAAGCATCAAGCAGGGTAAAACACTTCCTTACTGCCTTCAATTAATATTCTCAACTGTTTAAGATTTAGATGAACAACTAATCGGGATATACCTAATTGGTCAGGGAAAAGCACAGAACTATATATATATATATATATATATATATATATAATATTCTTTTGTTTTATTAGGATGAAAGAAAAAAATTGTAGGAACGCTTGAAAGGAAAAAGAGAAAAGGGTGCCGGCAGCAGGGCAATATACCTTACAATCGCGTTGCTTGCCAGTTTTGGAAAGGGAACTGTTCTGACCGTTACAGTGACAAGGGTTTGCCTTTTAACTCTGTTAGGAGAAATGAAAAGGCACTAGGATATTGGCACGGCTCAATCAAAGCACATGAAGCCACGCGAGATTATCTAAAGCTCATTTTTTGTGCTTGAGAAGAGTAGGTTTTAATGTTGTCCGAGTGAACCGAGCCAACATCGCAGTGCCTATTTCAACCATCAAAACATGCTGTGCTAAAACCTTCTGCCACTCCGCAGCAACTCTTTTGGGTTAAAATGATATGAATGATGAACTTGTTTTATTCGAAAGAAGTAGCTAGCAGTGAAAATGAAGAAGAAAGAGATGTGAGAGAGGAGAAGTGGTGGGAAGAAATGGGAATTTCTTGGATCTAATTTAAGGACATAAAAGAAGAGAGTTGCTCTGGGTGCATTAAAAACCCTCGACTACCAAAACCCACATCGAGGAGCAGAGCATTTAATAGCAACCTTCCCGACCCATCCATCCCCATAGTATTCTCTCCCTCTCACACACACAAATACTAACCAATGTTGAAAGTTGCTAGTTAATGAGTAGTAGCTAGCCTTATCTAAAAAATAGAATTGGCTTGTGATCCCTTTTCTCCTGTTTGTGCTAACAAGCCAGAGGCACAGATTGCAGCGTAATTAATAAGGGAACCGACTCATAAGGCCATAACTATCTCTAACTCTCCGAACTGCAGCTGCATCTTAATTACTATTTGTGGAATCTCATCATATTAACGACACCAATTTGTCCGTTGGTCACGTACCATTTAGTTTACTAGCGTAGCGTACGCAGATGAACTTGAGTGAGGGTGAGACTCCCCATCCTGAATAGAATGTTATGTTCTCCAGGGAGCTCTGAGAAGGACGTTCACGCTTTATCTTGAGCCCGTTTCCTGATCATCCACTCCGCTCAGAATTTTTCTTTTTATTTATTTATTTATTATTTACAAGTCAATTAATCATTTTTGAAGTAATTTATGATTTTTAGTATGATTCAAGAATTCTGTGATGGATAAGATCAGTTTGACCAATTTGTTTGCTAGCCAGCTAAGGTAATAATTAAACTATGCATAAACCAAAGAACTTAATTAGGAGCACCAGCAGTAGGTTAATTTTATGCAATATAGCAACCTTTTTTGTATTTTTGAAAATATTGCAGTGTATTAACTTAAAATACTAGTGTTCAAATCATACAACTAGGAGAATGTATATGAAGTTAATCAGTTTTGCAGGAAGCCATCTATTTGGTGGAAGTCTTGTTAAAAGAATCAGAAAAGTAGGATCCTCTCAGTGTAATGGATGACGAAACGGAGTCAATAAAAAAAAACCCTTGATTGATGTTCGGGAAAGGAGAAGTCAAGGCTGATCAGCTGGATGACCGAAACGTGAAAGAGCGAAACAGCTGTTCAATTTTTGAGGAAGTTCGCCTCGCCAAATGGGAGTTGAAAATTAGGAGGATCTGTTTGAATGTTTAACCAATTGCTAATTGTTTTTTCTTGTACCCCTTTGGGCAAATAGGTTATAGTTAATTAGAGATTACTAAAGCTGATTATTGTTTTATTTTGCTTTCATAACTCTTTAGCTTTTTGAGGAGGGACTGGCCTACCAGGCCTGGGGAACATGATAGGAATGGGTTTTTTGGGCTAAATACTAAATAGCACGATGAGCGTATAGAATTACATCAACACTATTTTATAAGATACTAACCTTTTATCATATACCATACAGTCCATCCTAACATTGCTAAAATATCGAATCAGACCAAAAGATTAATTTATGGCTTAATGCCATCATTGTCTAACATGTTAATATATTCCGCTGAATTGACTTTAATATAATAACAAAAAGGTGTCCAATCCAACAGGGGGATGAGCAGACCACCCACCGTGATTCATGAGAAATGAGAATATTCAGGCCCTGGCCTAGCCAGGATTTTAAAATTTATCATAGTCAAGAAAGAGATTCGAGAAAGATTCCATGGAGTAGATTAGGTTAAATGCGTCCGTGTGTGATGATGTCCATTGGGTTATTAATCAATGGATAACGACTTTTTATTTTATTTTATTCTATTCCTATGGTTTTTATATTACCATTATTAGATTAATTAATAATAAAACAAAATGGCATAAATATTAAAATATAAAGCCGGGGGTGATATAAGCAAAGCGGGGCAGCATCGTTAGAATCCACGTAGATTTGCGCTTATGGGTGCGCATCGTTAGAATCCACGTTATTATTCCCCCAAAAACAATCGAAATTTATCAGTTTATAAAACACGGGAAGAGGGGGAAAGCCAAAAAAAATGGGAGAAGCCATTGGCCCAAACCTTAATTTATCATTACGCAAAAGAAGAAGAAAAAAATTTTCTCCGTCCTTTTGCTTTGATAGTTGCCAATACGTTTAAACTATGATCCTCGCAAAGATATTTTAATCAGCGTTTTAGAATCTGAATCCAACCTCTTTTTTTTTTTTGTTTTAATGGTAATGGCGGATACGGAGAGTTGCAGTAGTAGAGCAGTGGATTTGGCGCCGAGTCAGAGCCGAAAACAGAGGCAAAAGATTGAAGTGTACAACGATGTTCTTTGTCAACTTAGGGACTTGAACATTGAGGAGGCAACCTTCCCTACCTTTGAAGATGAACTTTGGGCTCATTTCTCTAGACTTCCTACTAGGTACCCCACACTGAATCTTGGCTTTCAAATGTTTTCGTTTCCTTTTCCTTTCGCGTATGACTCGAAGAACTTGCTTATATTTGTGTTTGGCGACCAAGAAATGAAAATTTAAATTTTATCGAATTAACAAAATGGAGTCGAGCCTAGTCGTTGGTGAGGTTTCTTTTAGAGAATAGACGGTAATTTAACGGTTCTTTCGTGGTTGTTGGTTTCTTAGCTGCCAAACAGAGCGCCTTAAATATATCTTACTGTTGCTTTTTGTTATGAAATGGAAGTTTAACTGGAATTTCCATTCATTGGCTCTTTTGGAGTAGATTTAATTAGTTATAGGCTTATTCATTTGTTTGTTTTAGGTATGCATTTGATGTAAATGTGGAGAGGGCACAAGATGTTCTTATGCACAAAAGATTACTTCAGAAGGCACGCGATCCTGCCAGCGGACATGCGATTGAAGTTCGGCTTGTGCAAGTATTTTTACTTGATCTTCTCATTCATATTTCAGATATGTTTTGCCATTTCTTAGTTAATGATCTCTGATAATTGAGGATGAAATGATTGTACAATTCATATATGTTAGGTTGTTTTATAATGCCGCTTTGAAGGATTTAAGGTAATTCGAACAGTCATATTCATTTTAATTAGATGTAATAATTTAAGATATAATTATTAATGATTTAACATTAACGTAATATTAAAATAAAAAATATAATAAATATAATTTAAAATTTTAATAATAATTAAATATATATTTAATAAAATTTAAAAAATTTTATACTTTCCATACAAATTACAATAAATATTCTTCGTGTAAAATCTAATATAAATATATAAATTTTAATAATTTACGCAAGTCTAATCTTTAACAAATATTTCTCTTGTACAGGTCCATTCTGCCTCGGATGGAAATAGGGTTGAGTTGGGACATTTGAAGTGTGCAAGGAAAGCTGATGCTCAGTGTTCCGATTATCCCAACAAAAAAAGGCATGGTTATGCAAACATCTACTTGGTCTTCTTTCTTTTTGGAGTCAAAATGGTCAATTCTGATCTTGCTTAATTTTCTGATAATTTCTAATGTCCTCAATGCTTTCCTTGCTCCTTTTGCTGTTCCCCTGTTTTAGGGTTCATCCCCCACCTGCCTTTGGTACATCATCTGACCTTGAGTTTGTGAATGAAGCAAAAAGACGTGTTAAAGATATGGGCGTTGTAGTTTATGCCAAACCCATTCACTCTAGGTAAATACTTCTAAAAGTTTCTCCCCTGTTTTTTGGTACTTTTTATTTTATTTGTGATCTCGTTGGGCATTTTATGCAATATTTATATATCATAGTCATTCAATTTCTACACAATTTCATGCAGATTGAGTTCATCTGCATGGATTCATTTAGTATAGCAAAACAATTTCAAACAATGAAAAAGCTTTTACGGTTCCTTCTCCGAATCAAAGTAGAAGAATTAAAAGATTCAATAAAAGGAATAATTTCTTCCTAGTTTATAAATTATCCTTTATGGGCTCATTGCATTCTGTGCAAACTGTTCTCAGCATGTCGATCTGTAAACTTACTAGCTTAAGTTAAGTGCAAAACTGTGTCTGTACACTGATTCTGCATTGCTTTGGATATTTGTCCTTGGATACTTGCTTGTCAACAATGTCATCCATGCTTCCTATCTAATATTCTTTTCCCCTAAAGTTTTCTATTTATTTCTGATTATTGCTGGTGAATGAGAGGCATAAGACTTTGAAAGTTAGGAAGTCTTTTCTATTTATTTCTGGAAGTCTACATCCAGTGTTTGTGAAATAATTTGTCTTAATTCATAATTTCGTAGGCTGATGCATGAGATCACTATTTCAACAAATGACAAGCCGAAACTTCTAACGCAGGTAGTCAATGTCTCTTAGTTTTTCTAGTTGTGTAAATAATTTTTGGATATTATATCTGGTGATTAGTCTTTTTCATTTCCATATTTAAGATATTTTATGTTGAAATTTCAGTTGACTTCTTTATTATCTGAAGTTGGGCTGAATATACAAGAAGCACATGCTTTTTCCACGACAGATGGCTATTCCTTGGATGTGTTTTTTGTTGATGGTTGGGCACTTGAGGTACTTTACCCTTTCTTCTCTTTTGATATTCTACCGCACTAAGTCACTATTCCTTGGGGAAGAATGCCGCAGAGTTTATAATGGTATCAGTAAATTTCGTAACAGTCTTTCAAGCTGAATATTTATAGCATTAAGATTAATGTTTGTCTTTCTGATGTATCGTTTATCAGTCTTGAAGTAGTTTATTGACTTTAACCTATAGTCGTCTTAGACTCTCTATTTTCTAAGTTTGTGTGCCTCTCCATCAATTACTCAAATGGATTGATTACTTTTATATTTATGGTTGTAGGAGACTGAGCAGCTCAGAAATGTATTGGTAAAGGAGATATCCAGAGTTGAGGTAGCATCATCTGCTGTTCTCGGTTATAACTACAATAATTAATTATTTTGATTTCATTTTCTTCCTCATGGTAACAAGGACGTTTTCTTAGTCACCTACTCTTACTTTTAAGTGTAATTTGGCTGTAATGGTTTATGTTAAACCCAGGACAAGTTCAGTTGATCACATTTCTAAATCATCTTATTTTAGTATTTTAACTGGAGTGAGTATGGAAAATATATTCTTTTGTACTAACATTTATCTTGCCACATTGATGATTATTTTGATTGGTAAAGTAAAACTAAATCTGTTTTCTTTTTCGATACTATGATATTTGGTCTTCATATTGGTGCAGTATGTGTTATTTGCAATGAATTTTTGTTAATTTAATGTTCTTATTTCTCATTAAGAGGATATGCCTAAATTTCTAGAGAACTTTAACAAATTGAATTTGCTTAATTATCTTTTATATTTTGCTCCTGCCTGTGCTCCTTTTCTTTTATCATTCCAATATATGTTCTGCATTATTTTGTTAAAAGAAAGAGATGATAATCATTATAAAGGAAAATGTTGAAATATCTTGTTTCTTGTGATCTTCTAGCAGTGAGTAGGTCTCTGATAATTTGAATTGCTCTGTAGAAGCATTCCCAGTTAAAATCTCATGCAATATATCACGTGAGGGAGCTAGAGCAAACTGGAAACAAACTTGTCTCCAGTAATGTTAACATACCTCCTAGTGGAAATGATGTTTGGGATATTGATACTAGCCTGTTGAAGTATGAAAGCAAATTGGCTTCTGGCTCTTATGGTGATCTGTGAGTTCTTTATCCTTAAATGCCATGCTCTGTTTGTGCATAATATTTGTGAATGATATATTTTGACTGATGCAGGTATATGGGTACTTTCTGTGGTCAAGATGTAGCTATCAAAGTTCTAAGGACTGAGCATCTAAATGAGAACTTGCGAAGGGAATTTATTCAAGAAGTTAATATCATGAGGTGTGTTTAATCGCTATTTGGTAGTTACTGTAGACACTGCTTTCATCTATTTTTCCTTTTCCATAGTATTAACTATTGTTGATGAGCTAATTCAATTTCATGTTGATTCTTTAAAAAAAAAAGATAAAGTACTATCTACATCCTACACTCAGGAAATTTAGCTTTTTTCTTTGGAATTTACAGGAAAATTAGGCACAAGAATGTTGTTCAATTCATCGGTGCATGTACCAGATCTCCAAGCCTCTGCATTTTGACAGGTATATTTTATGACTTCCTATGTAGACCTAGTTGTCTGACTAGATATGTAATTTTTATTTTCAATTTCAATTGTATGTTCTTTTCTTTTTTCTCAGAGTTCATGTCTGGTGGAAGCATGTATGACCTTCTGCATAAACAAAAATCTGGTTTTAAGCTTCCATTCTTACTCAAAGTAGCAATTGATGTTTCCAATGGCATGAGCTACTTGCATCAAAATAGAATAATGCATAGGGATCTGAAAGCTGCCAATCTTTTGATGGATGAAAATGGAGTAAGAGATTCACCTGTTTATGGTATTTGCTTCATATATTTGTTTTTTTCTATGTGAAAAATAATCTTAATTCTTATATCCTGTTAAAGGTCTACTGGTTTTGGAGGTATGTCTTGATTTTTTAAATCATATTTGACCATTTTGGTTTAAAAAGAATAATACCTCGAGGATTAATATTTAAGAATTTGCACTGGGTAGGGGTATGTTATGGGGGGCATCGCTGTACTTGGATTAGAGGGGTGTAGAATCTTGACCTTCTGTTTCCCAATGAACATGACACTTAATGATTTGGGATTTCTATGTAGGCTACCAGGCGGTTTGTAAGTGGCCCTATTCCCATTTGGTGTCATAGCGGTATTAATCAATCAAAGTATGAAACTAGCAATTTTTTTTACTGGAGCAAACATAATATTTTTTAGGAGTGGGGAGGGATCAGTTGCTTATAACATGAATATTGACTATTTTTGGTCCATTTGCTTGCATTCACATTTTTTGTATGCTATATATACATTGCTTGAGCTGTCTGGTCCATGATTTCTATCTTTCTTTACACCCTAAGGATCTGTGCCACAGGTTGTCAAGGTAGCTGATTTTGGTGTTGCTAGGGTGCAAGCTCAGTCAGGTGTGATGACTGCAGAAACAGGAACATATCGTTGGATGGCTCCAGAGGTTGGTATTCTTGTAGATGTTCATTCATTCATGGATATTTAACATTTTGTTACTTTGTCAAAAGTGAAGGTCTGGAATATTAGTTCAAACAAATCAATTTTTTTAAGCCTGTTCTAGCATGCAATACCACAAGGTGCTTGCTCTAAATGGGCCTTTGTAGAATCGTTTAATAGCCACTAAGGGCAGTTTAAATTGCTTTTCAGTGAATGCTTGAATAGGTGAAGAATTTAAGGGATTGTTTGCTGTGGTGAAAATTGAAGGTCAGCGAAGTTTATGGTGCTTTTTGCGGAGCATAAGTTAAGGTTGTAAGAGGTGATGGTCTCGTTTAACAAAAAGTGAACTTAGGTAGGATAGACCTAGGAGAAAGGCATTATTCAGTTATTTTTTTGTTGGTGCATAGCTTTAATGAGTTAAACCAAGTTGGGAATTGTTTTTATTGATGACCTTCGAGATTCTCTCTTCCTATATAATTTTTAAAATGATAATATGTTTCTTCTTTCGGTTTACAGGCCTTATTTCATTTGTTTACAAGTACGGCATAACCAGACCTTGAAACACAGTTGTTTTTTCCATGCAGCACTACGAATAAGTGTTGCATAATTCATTTGTCTTTGTTTTAAATATTTCATGGAGCATGCTCCTATAAGTTAATGAGACGTTATCCTTTTGTTGACATGCCATACCATGCCTGTATTGACCATTATTTGTCTTTGCTAGTTTCCTCCAGCTTTCTGACATAATTATCTGGTCTTGATCCGTGGAAGGTGATTGAACATAAACCATATGATCACAAAGCTGATGTTTTCAGTTTCGGAGTTGTGCTATGGGAACTGCTTACAGGAAAGGTAATTCTTTTGCAACATTTTGGTTGAAAAAAAAAAGCATATCTTATCTTTTTCCTCTGGAGATAGCTCAATCTTCATGTTAAGGTTTATTTTGGTTTGTCTTTCATTTCTAGTTGTTTATGGCTGTACAGACTTAAACAAAAAAAAGAAAAAACCAACCTCTAATTTTGTGATTGATGCCAGCTTCCGTATGAGAATTTAACCCCCTTACAAGCAGCATTGGGCGTAGTCCAGAAGGTATTCTCTTAAAAATAGAACTAGCAGAATTATTTTGTTTAATTGACACGCATATTCATTTATATATTCCTTCATTCTTATGCATGGAGTACCAAGAAAAATCAGTCTGATACTCTGGTTACTTTCTTTTTAGGATAGTTAATGCTTCTCTTACTAAAAGATTTCTAATTCACAAGTGTACAGCGTAAGAGACTTGAACCAACCAAAGCTTTCTTTATGTGGATTTCAGGGTCTAAGGCCTGCGATTCCTAAGCATACTCACCCGAAATTTGTTGAACTGCTAGAGAGATGCTGGCAACGGGAGCCATCTTTGAGACCTGAATTCTCTGAAATTTCAGATCTTTTGCAAGAAATAGACAGGAGGTAAAAGAAAGTTGTAAGAATCGTCCTTCGCTTACGCTTCTTGTTAGAAATATTGATAATCTTGGAAAGGTTTGCAGACAAACAAGGCAAAGTGGAGGGCTAGCAGAAGAAACAATCATCACCTAGAAAATTTGAAACAGCTTTTAGGCAAGGAAGCCAGCAAGATGGCAAGCCCCCGTGAATCATTTTTTTAGTTTATTATATGCTTAGTTATTTCTATTTTTCTTTCCTCGTGTGAGACTTAACGCAATATTTTCAAAGTAATGGGTATCCATGCAACGTGGCAGCTTATTATTGCAATCTATAATTACATTTTCTCTCTAGTATTTGCAATTAAATGGAGAAACTAGAGATGCCATTGCTTGATAAATCTACTCGAGTTTATCAATGAGATATTGTTTCATATTTGCCCAAAAATAGAACTCAATATTTGGCGGTTCGACTACACTGCTAGAAGAATTAGTCCTTGATGCAGATGGCTATATTATTTCATATACTTATAGCTGCATCTGACTGGAGAGGCTTTTTTCTTGAACAAACGATTAAAATATTTAAAGACTTTGACATTGAATGTCGCTTACTGCCTCTCGATGTGAATGTGCGAAATATGCTGACTCTGTTTCACACGGGCTTCGTTCAAAATGGAGTGCTTGTGCTAGTTGATTACTCATGTCACGCAGAACGTAATTCTTGAATAATATCCGGAGGATAAGCTGATAACATAAAGGCAGTACTTGGCAAAAAAAAGGTTGAATTCAAGGGTAGCTCCCCAACAATCTTAAAAGCACTAGACAAAAGGGCAAATCCATATTAGGGAAAAATTGGAAAGATGTTTGCATAGCAGATACGAAAATCAGGAATTTGAGAGAAATGTTACCTTAATATTCCTCTTTTGTCTACGAGAATTGGCATTAATGAATATGATACTCTACGTTCATGAACATTTCCTAGAATTGTCCATGACTAAATGAGAAGTGCATTACTCAAGATTGAATTTAATTGACATAAGCCGATGGGGATTGGTAGATTCAAATGATGATAAAAAATATATATAAAATTTAAGGTGTTATCAATTCAAATATTCAACAATTACATCAATTATTTTCAAATAACATTCAAATAATATAATTAGATTAATAAAAACTACGAATATATAATTTTCTTAAAAAAAGCCCATAATTCTCAAACCAACTAAAAGAGACAATCAAAACAAAGCCCATAATTCGGGCTATTACTCAGAGTGAAATAACAGATCACAAAAAATTTCAAAAAAGCATAAAAAATGCAAAATCCCAGAGCAAAGGGTTTTCTTCATCAGTTTTCAATCACAAATCTCAAGCCATAGAATAGAATCTTTCGTCCGAAATCCTAAACCTTTTGAGTTTTATTTCTTTATAGTCCATTCCTTAAGTTATTTTCAAGCCCATAGTAGAATTAGACCAATAGAAACTGAGACCCAAACTTTAACCTAGGTAGAGCCCATTTAGCTTCTCTTTTCTTTTTGTCCTAGTTGGACCCAATTAACTGCCCCCATTAAGCAAGGGATAAAGTGGAGAGAGAGTGCAAATTCTTTTATATGGTGGAGAGGAGAGCGTTAACAGAAGACTCAATCAAATCAAACCAATAGAAAAAGGAACAAGACAGCACTTCCGAATGGCAACTCCGGTGAAAGTGTACGGCCCACCATTGTCCACGGCTGTATCTAGAGTCTTGGCTTGTCTTCTTGAGAAAGATGTTCAATTCCAGCTTATCCCCATTAACATGTCCAAGGGCGAGCATAAGAGTCCTGATTTCCTCAAGATCCAGGTACATGCTTTCATTAATTGTAATGTGCAGTCTGCAGTCTGTTTTCAGGTTTAAATAAACCATTAAAAGTCCTTCTTGTGTCCTCTCAAAATTCTTGGTTTTGACAGCCCTTTGGTCAAGTACCGGCATTTCAAGATGAAAGCATCTCTCTCTTTGGTTATCATTCTCAACTTCTTTTGATTTTATTTAAATCCAACCAACTTTGTTCCCTCTTGACAGTGGCTAAAATCTTGATTTGATTTGGGCCTTTTTCCATTTGGGATTTTAGAGTCTAGGGCAATTTGCAGGTACCTATGTGAAAAGCATGCAGAGAAGGGAAACAAGGGATTGTATGGAACCAACCCATTGGTGAAAGCTTCCATAGATCAATGGCTGGAGGCTGAAGGGCAGAGCTTTAACCCCCCAAGCTCAGTTCTTGTATTCCAGCTTGCATTTGCACCCCGAATGAAGATTAAGCAAGACCAAGCCTTAATCAACCAAAATGTAGAGAAGCTAGCAAAAGTGCTGGAGGTGTACGAGAAGAATCTCGGAGAAAGTCGTTTCTTGGCGGGCGATGACTTTTCTTTAGCCGATCTTTCGCACCTGCCTAACACACATTACTTGGTGAATGCCACTGCTAGGGGAGAGCTCTTCACTTCCAAGAAAAATGTGGGGAGGTGGTGGGGTGAGATTTCGAGCCGTGATTCGTGGAAGAAGGTGGTTGATATGCAGAAGCAGACGACTTGAACAATGGTTTGGTTGGCTTTTCTTTTCTTTCATGTTAATCTTGTTGAGCTTCTGCTTTGAAGTTCAACTAGAGGGATTTGCTATATTTCCTAGTTGTTATTCCCTTTGTTGTTTGCTCTTAGATTTCGTGGATCTCTCCAAAATCAATCATGACGCTTTCAATGTATTTAGTTTTTAGAATAAAAGATATAATCCTTCACTTGAATGCCGTCTAAAGATTGTTTGTACTCTTTATATCAGTTTGAGCAAGAACCAAGAAATGGAGCCCAAAATAATTAAGGTTGTTAGTTTCCTTAAACCAACTAGCTGTACAAATTTAAACTTTAAGAAATTGGATCACCGAATGATAATCCTAAGTCATTCCAAGGGCCTTAGGAGCTCAAAGAGCAGTTCTAATCATTGCTACCGACCGAATCTCTCACTTGTATATGCTGGTAGAAAAAGGTCAATTGGACCCAGAAAGAATGGTGGAAAAATCAATGGCTTTATTCCATCTGGAGTACAGGGCGCTGTTTATTTCATGATGTTGGGGAAACAGATCCTTTCAGTTGACTCTTTTGGGCCTCTCCACAGTAGCACAAACTATAGACCTCAAAACCTTAGATGGGCTATCAATGCTATATCAATAAGCTTAAATGTTATAGGCCTCGGCTCTTAGTCTTGGGTGGGCCCATCCCATGTATCGAAGTATTCGAGACAAAATTTCCAAAATCCAATAAATCAGATAGGTTAACCGCAAGAGCCTTCCGTTTGGTTACGGTGCTTTTGTCAGCGTAAAGAATGGAGTCAGGTGCGAAGGAGGAAGAGAACGTGATGGGATACAACGGCAACAACGTGGAGAAAGCCAAGTTACAGACAACGCTGGCCGCTCTCCTTGACGATCCAATCCTCGCCGATGTCCCTAAGAAACCCACTTTGTCCGATGTTGATACCCTCATCAGCCTTGAACTGGGGAGTGCCATGCGCATCTCTATCCTCAAATTAGATGGAACCTCTTTCGGTACTTAAAATGCCTTCTCTCTCTCTCTCTCTCTCTCTCTCTCTCTCTCTCTCTCTCTTTCAAGTAGGCGTTTAGACAAACATCTAATTTGTGTTTGAATTGTTAAGAAGCCACTTGTGAAATTAAAAGTCAGTGCTTATTCTGTTGGTTTTCCTTGGAGTTGAAGATGTTGCAGTGATGAATTCGGCCACGGTGAAAGACTTGAAGCTCGCAATCAAGAAAAAAGTGAATGAGTCAGAGCAGTCCAAGATGGGTCATCGCCACATTTCATGGTTTATCATCTTGTTTTTGCTCTTAAAGCACCCTTCTTATTATTGGGGGCATTTTGGTGTATTAGAGAGTTGCAAAAAAAAAAAAAAAAAACAATACTTTAGCATTTATCTTGCTGTTTAAAATTACCGGGAAATACTACAAAGTTTGGTTTTTTAAAGATTAAGCTTTATGTTTACTTTGGTTGTAGGAAGCACGTGTGGGCCAATTTCTGCCTAGCACACTACAATGAGAAGCTCCTTGATGACGGCGCTGCGCTTCAGGATTTTGGTGTCCGAAATAACTCTCAGGTTTTACCTTTTCCCCCTTCATTTTTCTAACAAGAGTTTTTATATGGTCTTTCTTTGCTCATTTCCTGCTTATGATCTCACTTTGGAGCTCGGAATGCATAGAAATTGCATATATCACCTTCCATGGACTTGTATGCTAATGAATAATGGAAACCATCATCTCAAGTAAGGTTGTGATAAATTATAAATAACGTCAGAGGAAACTCAAAGTAGACTTGATCTAGAAATTTGGCTCTCATTTCCAGTTTTGGCTATAATGTCTAGCTGCAGGCGCCATGTAAAACTATAGTGAAACCAATCAGAATAGATTTGCTTCAAAAACCATTAAATGTTATAAACACGGAGAATTTCTTCCTTGTGTTATTGTTCTGTGAGATATTATGATCATACTCTGGTCTCATTATGGAGAGATATGTTGTGTTATGCAGGTACAGTTTTTACCCTATGTTGTCTCAAAGGGTTCTGGGAGCCATTCTAGGAGGAGAAAACACCGTTTCTTCCATGGGCTGAACAAGCGTTCATGAAGACATTCAATCATGTTGCTGATCTCATGGCTCTACGTTGATATTTCCCTACATAAACAAAAATGCTAGTATTCTTGTTATCTAATCCAAGTCATTCAAGAAATTCGGAAGTATTTCATTTGGGGTGATTTTGCTGAAAAGTTCAGGTGATTTCCTGACAAATTTTTGCTTCAAGGCAAATATAATAACATATACTATGATGTAAAAACTGAAGGAATAATACATACTGCTTTATAGTAATTTGATCCTAACATTTAATTTTTCACAGATGCTCCTTTGTGTTTAACAGAATTTTCTAGTCTTATTATTGGATCTCCATGGGCCTGCCAGGTTTTGTCCAAAATCACTTTTCGTTTCTTTGTCGTAAATAACAATACGTTGGGCCGTGTATTGTCCAATGAGTTCTTTCTTCACGCATGGGTAATAAGAGACCCATGAATTGCTAAAGTTGAAACCATTATCCAGATCGTGACAGTGATCCTTCGTGAATAGTGATGACAATGGGGTAAGTTTTTACTCGTTTCGAATTTGATCTGATATTTATATATTTAAAATCACCCAATCTGATTTTAAATAATATTTATATCACCCAATCTGATATCTAATTTTTTTTAGAAAAAATGAACTTTAAAAGATCGAGTAAATCAAACCTATCGATTTTGGATTTTTTTTCCTTTATCTGTTCGTGAACTTCTTAAAATTCCTGAAAGGGCCTCCTTGGGACATAGCACGTCGGTTACAATGTCATGGCCAGTCCACCTAACTTGTGAAGTATACACTGCAAAATGTAAATGACTGCTTTGTTTCATGGGTGGAAATCTATCTGGAGCTCTGGACAATGAAATATCTGAATTGGCAATGGGGCCCAGTGTTTACTCAGTTTTGTGCAGCTACCGTTACCCTTTTTCATATTTTAATGCCTCATGCTTGAATGAGTCCCCGGAATGGAATGGAATCCACCGCTGGGGGAAAGGTCAAGGGATAAATGGGGACCTAGGACTCGGGTAATATAAAAGTAAAATTTATGCATATATCTCTTCATAAAAAATACGTAACGTTGACCATATAAGTATCTAATTTACATTTTCAAGTCATTCTATTACAAGAATAAAGAGACAATGACAGATCTATCATGTAATAAAGAAATTAAATCCATATCCATGTCTAGATTCGCATATAGCTTCCCAGTGCAAAAATGAGTGGTAAAAGTATTTCATATTGACGAAAGATCATTAGAGTGAAAATATCTATATGAAGCTGAAATGGCACTTCTTATCGTAGAGTGGTAAAGTATTTCACATTAAAGATAGATCATCAGAATAAAGATCTGCTCTGGGTTCTTTAGTTAATGCTGATTTTCCCTTCTCTACGGTCTAACAGTCGGGTTCTTTAGAAGTCATAAAGATCTGTGCTGGGTTCTTCAGTCGCTCTTTGTACTCTTTCAATTCTCTCTTGTATCTCTCCTTATCTTTCAATCCAATGTTCTGGTACACCTACAGAGAAATAGATTTATCATTATATTGATAAAAGTTCATACTCCTATCGGCAAACTGGAAATATATAGTTTGAGAAGAATGCCAGGACTCAAAAGATTTTTCAAGGCACAAATATAAACGAGGAAAACAGTGTTAAACCTGATAAAGAATGCTCAAAATCACAGAAAGTAGTTTGCAAGACATTCTCTTATTTGTGTGTAATCTGCGAAAATGTAAATTGCGCCAAAAACATTTTCCAATTACCATCCTCTCTTCCGGGCTTAGACTGCTCCAAGACTCTCCAATCATTTTTGTGAACTCCCTCTCTCTGTTTGGATAGAGGGATTTGAGTTTATAATGCTTTTCAGCAAAGAAAAAGTTGTAACCACTCCTGTTGGGTTTCGGATAGCTAGGGTCTCCTGCCCTTCTGCCTCTCCTCCTCCTTCTCCTCCCAGAACGGCGTTTGTATGGGACAAGGGCATTGGTATATTCAGATGTGGAAGCAGAATAGCCTGGCTGCTCTGGATGGTAAAGTACTCCACTGAGAACCTCTGAACCCAACCTCACAGATATCAAATAACCACAATCGAACTTCCCATCAATCGTTCCAGTAACTGAAAAACAAGAGGTTCCTACAGAGAGAATCACATAAGGTTAGGTCATCCAATCCATTGCAAGCCCAAAGAAGTTCAAATCTACGCCCAAAGAAGTTCAAATCTACATCCTAGCAGTATGAAGGACAGCATTCCACATACAAATAAAAGAAATTAACTTCCTATCAGACAAAGAAGTTCATATATACCAGAATTGATTAAAATTTTGAACATACTATCCATTTAAACATTGTTTCATTTTGCCTCTAGAAGCAGGTAGGTGCAGATTCGAACATGAAGTGCCTTCTAAAGCCAAATGTTTGCTAGGTATGTGGTAGTATGCAATTGAAAACATTCGACTGAACCACAGATAGAGACAGCAAAAATACATATTCGTTTCGCAAGAGACATCATACAAGTATCACAAGGACCATAACCACATACCAGAAATATGTTGATAAAATGTAGTGGGACCCCATAAAAAGAAGATAGAGAAAGCACTAAACAAATACATCAAATATCAAAAGACCATACCAATAAAAATAGCTAACCTACAGCTTGTAATTCCTATGTCATCACAATGGACTCATTTCACATACTCATAAAATCAAACAAAAAATTTTGGAGCATAGAAATTAAATTCGAACATTTTCTGTTGTGTGGATGATACTAACTTTATCCTCTTGTATCTTTCATGAAAAGTAGAAATTAGAAAAAAACCAACCGACCTTCAATAAGTGGATCTGGGAATTCTCTTATCTGTTTAGGGGAATATTCCACGAGAGCCAGTTCAGGTCTGAATGAAGGATCGTTAACAGGAAACGCAACTGCATATATATAAATAAAAATTAGTATTAGACCCGTACAAGGATCGCATTAAACCAGAAGGAGCAAACAGAGCAGAAAGGGAAAACAGGGTAAAAACCATGCAAGAAGAAAAAGCATATGCGTAAAAAATGAACTACCCGTTGGAGTATGTAGAGGACCCTTCATCTTAAAGAAATGAACCTGCTCGTAATGGTAAAGAAGACTGAAGTAGTGTTTCCTAAGCACGAAAGATGCACTTGTTGTCGTTGGAGAGAACCTGAAAACACTACCCACTTCCCTCCATTTCTTCTCTGCAACTACCTACATGCCATAGCAATCAAAGTAAGATATAGAAAGCTTTAAACTTTACGACATGGGTATTTTGAGGAAAATCGGAGGAACAGATATAGTAGTAAAAAAAGAGTTAACCTTCTCATAACCACCCTTTTTGGTAGCCTCTACATACAGAACATGCAAATCCAACTCCTTGCCTCCAATCACAGGAATCCTTTAAAAATACAAAGAATACAGAAGCACAAACGTCAAAGAAGACGTAAAAATACAAAGGAACATGAAGAGATCACCTTTTTGAAATCCGTGTAATTTTTTTTTTAAAGTTCAAAATAAAAGTATCACATTCTCATAAATCCAAATATATAATCAGCACTAGTGTTCCTTTGAAAAGAACAAGATGAAGAAGAAGATAAATGAAAAGAGTTTAGAAAAAAGAAAGAACGAAGGGAATTACATGAACTTGGTGCCCATCATAAAATGAAAGCGCCTAAGAGTATCCCAGAAAACAATAGGGTCCTTCACAACATCTTCATGAGAGGCAAGAGGGTCCGGGTATTCTTTCTTCTCAACAACCCCATTCTGGCCCTTTGCTTTCCCAGAAGACGACATTTCTTTGCTGGCCGCCCCTTCCATTGAGGCTGGTCACCGGAGACACTAGTAGAAAAAAGTCTGAGAGGGAGTACTTGTACTACTATAGAGGGATAATAACGAGAAAGAGACGAAGAGATGATTTGGAAGGTAAGATTGTAATTTAGGGGCAGGATAGCTGAAGTTAAAGAAACGGGGTTGGACGCGTGAGCAGGTAACGGTTACGCAAAATTGGCTTTTTCTGGCATTTTGAATGGCCAACACTGAGCAAAGTCCTAATGCTTATTTATTTGCGCTGGCTATGTTCATTATTATACACTACCTTGCCCTCTTCCTTTTTCTCTCGTGTCATTCGAAGTCTGACATCTCCGCAGATGAAAGGACTTTGATTGCTTTCTCCAAACGTTGACATGCACTTGCGCTACATGTTCTGATGATTTTCTGAACATATCTTAGCGTACATCTGTTGGAAGATACTTACAGAATGGTCTTTTTTGTGTTGCAGTCTTGTAGTGCAGCAGGATACGCTAAGATAGGTTCAGAAGGTCTCTCAATTAGTTGTTTCTTGATAATTGGTCGAATGCTTTATACTTGCTAGCTAGAAGTAGAGGGTAATCTTTATATCCGTTGAATTTTGATACATGTCTCGGCCTTCCATATATAAGCTTGATTGCGTGGTTAGAATCGCTGACCAGAAAATCAAAAGTGAGGAACTTTTCAACTATACGGTAATCATAAATCATAAATATGCATCAAGACTTTGAACAGGGCCTTTCTGTAACATGGGAAACATAATCTGGAGATCCCGTGGAGTATTATAATGCAACATTGGAATCAACCATGAACTACTTCAATCAATACAATATTCTTAAAAATGGCTCCGAGCCCTTAAACCCAAGTTGACCCAAGAAAGTTTAGATTAAAACATTAGGGCATATTCCTATTTAGACAATACCATTTAGACTAATAATTGAAGGGCTTTACCCCGAAGGGAGCCCTTCCAAAAATTCTCAAAGGCCAGGGCCTACAAGGGGGTTTGGAAATAGTTTTCAACCAGCAATAGACGCGTCTCAGCTTGAAGCTCATGAGCTGCGTCATTGCCCCAAGCGCAAGGACCCTTGAGCCTATCTCGCCTTTCTACTTTTATAGAAGTTAGGAACCGTCGACAGCTTATTTGCCGCAAACGTGGTATTGCATAACTTTCCTCAACTTTCTTCCTCTCTCCTGCGACATTCAAGATAAATCAAGATTTGTCTTTCACGTGATGATCAACCTTAATCCTTGGGGCCAAAGAAACGTGTCTTTACCTTGATGCTCGTTTGAAGTTGAAAAATGGGATATGAGAAAAGTAGCTTATTCTCTTTCTTCAACTTTTACACCAACTGTATGTAACAAAAAATCTTTCTTTCTCAGCCAAAAAGGCCTTTGCAATGTCATTCCTTCAAAATCGTTACAATCTATATGGGCATTACAATATGATTTCAATCTATAAGCCAAAAAGGTCTTTAAAATCATTACAATTTCAGATAAATTACAATATCATTACAACCTATAAGGTCTCACACAAGCAATTGTTGCTGAGATTTAGACCAATACAAACAACTTAAACAGAAAGATAAAACATCATATACTGACACAGAAGTCATACAGATAAACAGAAGACACCATTTTCATACAGCACCGTAGATACAAAAGATACTAACTATATACAGATATTTACATTGTAACAAGTCAAAGGAAGCACTTACGGCTATCTTCAAGCTCTCATATTAGCATGGACTTGGTGTAATCCAAAGTGGCGTAGGCCAATGCAATCGGAAGAAAGAATTCCTTGGATAACAAGGCAATGGCTCAATGCTTCCATCCCATAACTTGTAAATACCAATATCATGTTCCCCAAAAGCACCATCATAGTTAGTTTCAGAGTAATCATCTGTAAAATATATGCAATTCCCCTTACAACCTGTAAAATCAGAAGCTGACAACGATAATGAGGAATTTTCACCAATAAACAGCATCTTATCATATAAACTTTTCACTCTCTCCCAATGAGGTCCCCTCCAAACTAGCCTAGAAACCTCGAAACGCTTAGTCCTATAGATCAAATAATACTGATCAGGCTCGAAATTGAAATCAAGATCAAGGTGACGTGTAACGAGTAACAGTTCATCTCCAGAATTAACCAAATATTGCATATCACCCATTAATTGTCTCGGTGTTTCGATAAATGAAACCCTGGGCGACTCATGGCGAACATCACAGATTACAATTCCACCCTGTTTATCAACAGCGTAACATAATCCCTTACAATATATAACATCCTGGGAATAGGATTGCGCATCTTCGATAAAGCGCCAAGATTCGTCGCCGTTTTTGCAATAAGCTAACTCGCCAGTCTGGTTAAGGATCGCAATCGCCACGAAATGAAGGTCCTTGGAAGGATTTGCGGAGAGCACGATTTTTTTTATGAAGGAGTCTCGCATTTGCCGCAAATTGCGAGTGTAACGGCCTCCGGAAGGGGATCGAAGGGAATATTCCTTCCCGATGTCGGAGTAGTTAAAGCTGTCCACGTTGGGGAAAGTGGAGAGAGGAGGGAGGAGGAGATTGGCTCGGGAGAAAGGGTTCAAGAGGAGAATAGAGGGGGATTCGTCGAGGATAATAAGCCATCCGTGGGAAGAGCCGCAGTGGCGCTGTGTTGGGTTGGAGGATTCGGGGAGTGAGAGGAATCGGACTTTATTGGTAGAGAGATCGTAGAAGGCGCCGTGAGATTGGGATGGGGGGAGCATGAGCCAGGGGAGCTGAGGAGGGAGGCGGAAAGGGATTTTAGGGATCGAGGATCGCCAGCTGCGGCAAACCGCTCGGAAACGGATGTAATCGGCGTAGATTTTGACGTTTTCGGCGATGGATTCTAGGAGTTCTGGCGGGAGTTTGGTCCAGTCAACGCCCATCTTATGGTATTTATCCAACACTAAAGCTTATAACTGAAATTTTCTCGCAGATTACGGGATTTTGTACGAAAAGTCGAGTTTTTCTCATCAAATTTCGCCGGAAATAAGATCTATTCTTTGATAATCTATCAACGGAGGATGGTGGGCATCTCAGGGATTCACTGAACTGGAAATGAAGAATCCCAGACGTACAAGCGAAGTCGCTGCTCGTATTTTGAGAACTCTTGCTTGATGCCGCGTTGCACCTTGGCTGGTATTATTAAACGATATCGTTTCCCAAGCAGATCTTGACAGCCGATATGAGCTCGAAATCTGTTTTTTCTTTCTTTTCGAGTTTCTTCAAATTCTTCAGATAATAAAATATGTAAAAAAAAAAAAAAGAAAAAAGAAAAATAGGTGATCAAGAAACTTTAAATTATAACTTTTAAAAAATTAATTTTTCTATTACTTAAAACTGTTATGGATCGAATTTAATTATTGAAATTAAAATTTTAATTCATCAATAAATCATATAATATATAATATAATTATTGGGATACTCATCCATAATGGATAGATATCATTCTATGAAATCAACTGTTTTGGATAATTTATTTTTCATCACGAAAACTATATCAGACAGTTTATAAAAACAATATATATATATATATATATGTGCCGCCCCAACTCTCCAATAATTTATTTGGCCATAAAAAAAAAAAAAAAGTCATCTAACAAAAACATAAGAAAAAGAGAGAGCAATTCCTTTAAACAAATAAATATATATAATTATATTTATACACGTCTTAAATGTATTTATTTTTTTAGAACTTTAAAAACAAATGTTAAACAATGCCAAATGATGCATTTAATAGTAAATACTCTCATTAAAAATATTTTCCCCTTTGAAACAGTAGAAAATTTCTGATTAGTTTGTACAAAAGTTAACCGAATCACTCAAATGGCAAGTGACTTGACAAATGAAAATTTTCATTGACATTTCAGCATGATTTGCTAAATCAAAACCTATCACTAGAACCTATAATTGCTCTTTTGTTAATTTGGTTGAACATTCTCCATCAATCTCAAACTTTGTGTAATTTACTTTTTAACTTTACAACATTACAAGACATTATATACCTGATTGTCATTGGCATCCAAAGGCTGATACATACATACCAAAGGCATGCCACACTTTGAATAATGATGTAATTTTTTTAATTTTTGGGTGTGAACTCTCAACCAATAATGGTGATAATCATAAAATGGAATTAAGATTAAAAAACAGAGATAGAATAATGTGATCTAAAATAAAAATAAAACAATATAGACACTACAAAATATGAGATAAAGAAGGCTTGTTTCAATGGTATATGATGTAAAATCAAAAGTCTAAAAAAAATTGAAAAGATAAAACAATGTGCAAGGTATTATTATTATTTATTTTTAATCAAAAAACAAGGAAATAAGAAACAAGGAAGTTTTGTTCCCCACCCAAAAAAAAAAAAAAAAAAAAAAAACCACCATCAAGTGAGAATTATCATATCCTCTTAAGCATAACATGTTTTAAATGCATTTAAGAAATCAAAAAGCCCAAACCGTGCTAATGAAAAGGCTTCTCACGAAAAGAAAACGTTTCCTTTAACATAATTTGGGTTGGGCCTTGAAAATTGCCCCTAAAGATAATTCCGGTCCTTCTAGACCGACACATTGCAATTTCCTCGTTCTTTAACCAAAACAACACGACCCAAAAGAAAGTGACCCCTTTTCTTTTAACCTTTTCAATGCCTTAAGAAGTAGTATTACTTTTATTCTCAAAGTAAGATTTAAGTCTCATTCTTTGTTCACACAGCTGTAGAAAACTTTTGTGATTCTTTGATCTTGGTATTTGCTTAATTTAGTTATGTCTCCATGTTTTCTTATAGGGTCATGCATCTACATTTACACATCCAAGAATATTAGTTTTATGATTGGAGTGATTCCATTCTCAGAACAAATTGTTAAACTGGCATGTTTTACAACCATTTCTATTTATAAGTTTGATTTTCCAAGCAAATATTTTCTGTTGAATGTTTTTAAGTTCTGTACGCAGATGGACATTCGAAGGCGTCAAGATGTCACAGCCGGTCATCTGTCAGAGTTCTGGAAGCCCAGAACGACCTCTGTTCCGCAATTAATTGAGATAAAGTATGCATGAAGATTGGGGCTGGTTCATGGAGTCAAATTGGCAGAGTGGACACTGGTTACCTCCGGACAAAGATATGAAATGAGGGAAAACCAATGATCCCTGTACCTTCTTTCTTTTCATTTTTAATCCCCTATATCAGGGAATGGGTTCTACACTGGCAATCTGGCTTGGTGGCTAGTAACTTATATTGCGTAAATAAAGCATCCCATCTCTAAAATTGTATTGGAGATCAATGGTGGATGCTTTGTATGTCTGAGATTAACTGCATTTACTATCAATAGAATTATAGACTAAACTGCACTTAGTCTAACATTTTGTTCCTCATGTTGATACACAACTATGCTAGTTAAAACTTCGAAGCCTTTTTGTCGGTTCCCTTTTATTCTCTCCTTTTGCCCTTTATATCAACTTAAAGAACTGATTATTGTAAGAGTAATTGCCAGACTAGTGGGTGAAAAGAGCTTCAAGGACATGAGATTATATGATGCTCAATCGTCCATGATTAGTTGGCCTTTCTTGAAATTACAATGACGTGTCCATTATGCGGTGTAGAGAGGCTTATGTTCTGTGGGAAATGCAATATTGGTTAGGAAGATAAGTCTGAGAAAAACGCAGACAAAACTAGAAAATGCTACTGAGTAATGATTATGCAGCAAAATCTCTATCTATTGGACTTGTAAATGCTTATCTTTTTGAATAAGGGCTGACTACAAGACGAAAGCGAGCCACAGACAAGTTTTCAACGACACACAGTAACAAAGAATTGGTAAGAGAAGAAAACATGAAAGTAACCATAAATTCTAGTAAAAGTAAAGGCAATAGTATAGAATTTAGGTCCCAGAACGAGAGAGAGTGAGAATGTGTCATGTTAGACAACTTGATGCACAAGGTTCACATTAGTCAGCAGGGTACCAACAATGGCAAGGAAACCCTGTCTATATATATATATTTCACTAATAGGACCGATCAAACAAAATTATCATCCATTACAATTTTAGATAATATGATGTCTGCTTCAAAGTTCCAGTTGGGCTGATGTGTGCAGCTTGCGAATGGGCTCAAGGCCTCCAACAACTAGGGGATCCTAAATTGAAAATAATGGAGAAATCTTGTATGGACATATCTGCAGAGTGACAGATTATTCCGAGTCTTTTGACCAACGACCAGGCACAGACAGCTTAAGTAAATAGTAGCAAGTTAGTAGTGTGAGATGTGGGGGGGGAGAGAGAGAGAGAGTCACATGGCGGTAGAGCTGGAAAGACACTCTCTTCTATCACAATCATAACCATCGTCATCGGCACCATCATTCATGTTTTGAAACTAAATAAAAACTCCTTTCCCCACCACATCTCTTTGCCTCTAACACAATCAAACAACATGCCATCCTTTCACAATATCTCATGGGGTGTCTTTGCCTAAGCCTAACACCTAAAACAACATATCACCTCCCTCTCTCTCTCACGTGACATGCACTGCGTCAAAATCTGGCAATATTCATTGAAAAAAAAAAAAAAAAAAAAAAACTGAATCACCCTTTCTTTTTTCTATTCCGAACTCAATCATCACCATCGTTAGGCTTTATCCAATGCTTCCTTCAAATTCACAACCTGTCCTTTTTGCGGATAAACCTTCTACTACTATATGCAAGAAGTCACTATGAAGGTGAGCTTATATGTATGAATATTTAAGAATGGCGTTCGTATGGGACAAGGGCATTGGTATATTCAGGTGTGGGAGCAGAATAGTCTGGCTGCTCTGGATGGTAAAGTACTCCTCTAAGAACCTCTGGACCCAACCTCAAAGATATCAAATAACCACAATCGAGCTTCCCATCAATCGTTCCAGTAACTGAAAAACAAAGAGAATCAGATCAGGTTAGGTCATCCAATCCATTGCAAGCCCATAGAAGTTCAAATCAACATCCTAGCAGTATAACTTGGACAGATTCCGCATACAAATAAAGGAAATTAATTTCCTTTCGGACAAAGAAGTTCATATATACCAGTATTTATTAAAATTTTGAACATACTATCTATTTAAACATTGTTTCTTTTTGCTTCTAGAAGCAGGTAGGTGCAGATTCGAACATGAGTGGTAGTATGCAATAGAAAACATTCTAGTGAACCACAGATAGAGACAACAAAAATACATATTTGTTTCGCAAGAGATATCATACTAATATCAGACGGATCATAGGATCATAAGGATCTGTACAGTTCCAAAACTCGGATATAGATTTATTCGACATTTTGGATCAATCTAATTATCGTGATTTATATTTTTATAAAATATTATCCACTTCAATCTCTTTAACCTCACAAAGAGAAGATAATGTGAATTCTTATATTCCATTACTAATTCTAGTACACAATTGATGTAAAATTCATGGTTATTCGATGATGTGAATTCTTATATTCTATGACTAACTCTAGTACACAACCGATGTGAGATACATAATTATTCTTTATGATCGTGACATCTTTCCGCACATTTTCTTTCACTCCAACGAAGGCCGCACATCTTTTTTTACTCCAACGAAAGCCTATTATCCTCATTGATACATCGTTAGTACCCATAGCTAAAACCTCTAAAGTTAGCTTTGATATCACTTTTCACGGATTGAAACTCAACCTCTAGGCTCATAGAGTTAAAAAACTTAGATATTAACTTATCTGATATTTCAAATCAATTTAATTGTCGCGATTCATATCATTGTAAGGTATTGTCCGCTTCAACTTCATAACTTCATGATTTTATTTCATAAAAATATCTCAAAAAAAAAATTAATATAAACTTTTATATCTCATTATCGACTCTAATATATAATTAATGTGAAATTCATAATTTCTCTCTGATACCGTAATACTAACAAGTGCCATGGCTCCCAAAAATTTTTTTTTATACCATTGGAGCATATAATACCACATTCTATCAAAAATAATATTTAATTTCTTCTTTCCTAATAAAATTATTATTTAACCATTCTTTTTTCATATTTCCTCTAACCACGTACTAGAAATATATTGATAAAATGTAGTGGGACCCCGTAATAAAAAGAAGATTAGAAATCACTAAACAAACACATCAAATATCAAAGACCATACCAATAAAAATAGATAACCTACAACTTATAATTCCTATGTCATCACAAAGGACTCATTTGAAAAACTCATAAAATCGAACAGAAAATTTTGGAGCAT